AGATTCACTTGGTGCAAGGGCAGTGAATGTTTTTTTGCCTTTTTTTTTTTTTTAACCAAACTGGGATTTAAACTCAGGGTTTAGCGCTTGCAAAGCAGACACTCTACTGCTTGAGCCACACCTCCAGTCCAAGTAGATTTTTTTTTTTCAAGGAATTGGGGTTTGATCTCAGGGCCTATACCCTGAGCCATCCACCAGCCCTTTTTGTGATTTTTTTTTTTTTTTTTTTTTTTTTTGAGATAGGGTCTTCCGGACAATGCTCAGGCTGGCTTTGAACAGTGATCCTCCTGATCTCTGCCTCCCGAGTAGCTATAATTACAGGCTGAGCCACCAGTGCCCGGCCCAGTGGATGTTTTTGATGATAATTCCCAATGTGTCTGATTCTTGGGTCATATTTTACCAGTCTAGACTGGTAGTTTGCCTAAGTAGAGTTCTAGGTTGGAAATAATTTTCCTTCAGATTTTTAAAAGCATTGCTTTATTTACTTACTACTGTTTTGAGTGTTGTTCTTGCCCTTCTGAGTCATGGTCCTTTGGATGTGACCTGTTCTTTTTTTCACTTGCCTCTGGAAATGAGTTGCAGCTTTCTTTTGTTTCTGGTGTCCTGAAATTTGACAGGAGTGTCTGCTTTTTCAGTTGTACTGTTAAGGACTCAGTGGATGTTTTGGGCTAGACTTAAGAAAATCATCATGTCATTCAGTTCTGGTGAATTTTCTTTGGGTATTTCAAAGCTTCCTCTTTATTTTTAGGGACTAGAGAGTTTAGTTTTTTTCCTGGTTTTGAGGCTAAATCTTTTTTACTTATCTCATTTTTGTGTCTTGCCTTGTTCATTTTCTTTTCTTTTTTTGTTACTCTTTTGTCTCCTTTTTTTGAAGATTGATTCAACTTTATCTTCTATATCTTCCAATGAATATTTCATTTCTACTATCATGTTGTTAAAGAATTTATCCTGACACTTGTTAAGATGGTAGGAATACTTTATTCAGGACTGTTAGAGGAGAGCACATTAGTTGGATTGGGGTGCTGTAGAACAGTACCATAGCTGGGCAGCATAAACAACAGTTTTATTTTCTCACAGTTCTGGAGCCTGGAAATCTGAGATCAGTCTGCCAGCATGGTTGGGCTCTGGTAAAAGCACTCTTCCTGGCTTGCAGACAGTTGTCTTTTCACTGTGTGCTCACATGGTTTTTCTTGGCATATGTGCATGGAGAGTCTTTCTCTCTTGCTCTTTTTATAATGCCACCAACCCTCTCTGATTAGAACTCTACCCTAATGAGGGTAGAGTTAAACCCTTAAATGAGGGTTCAACTATAATTACCTCCCCAAAGCCTGCTTCTAAATGCAGTCACACTGAGTGTTATGACTTCAACATATTATTTTAGGGGGACAATTTAGTCACATACATTTAGTTCATGACAAGGGATTTTGCAATGGAGGAGAGCAATGGGGCTCAACTCTGAACACAGTGAAGAAACTGGGGATTTATAACTAAGGAACAGAATGGTGAGAGGAGACCTGAAGGGTATGGGAACTGTTGCTGCACTGACTTACCAGGATTTTTGCTGAGGAAAGGTTAATGTTAATGTCTTATTCATCAAAGGTGGGGGATAAGGAACTTAATAAAGTATCAGGGTAGACAGTTCTCTTGAAACTGTCTTAGCTGCATTCTTGGTACAGCTGGGCTGCAGGCCTGGCAAGGGACAGATTGGTCCAGGAGAGAGTCTTTGTCCGTGTGCAGCAACTCTTGTATGTATGCCTTTTATAGTTCCGGATGATTCTCTCTGCAGGGACCTCCCTCTTTTCCAGAGAATAACCTCTAAATGTCTCTTTGGCAGGAGAGCCAGGAGAATACGTTTGCCCAGCAATAAGTGTGTGTAGTTGGTGTGGGGGCATCTCATCAGCTTTTACCTAGTATTTTCTCCCTAGTTCTGTAAGTACCTTATACTGTCGTTCTTGGTTTGTTTGTTTGTTTGTTTGTTTTAAGGATTCTGTGGTAAATTGATTGGTTTTCATCTTTCCTAATTCCTGACTTGGGATTCAGCTCTCTTGAGTTTGTTAGTTGTCTCTTACCCTTTTGCATTCTAACTTTCAAAATGCAACTGTTGTCTTCTCTTTGTGTTCCCCATCCTTGTGGCCTGATACCCTCTTTTAAAGAATCCCTTCACTGTAGAGTTAGGGCCTTGATGAAGGAGTAACACTAGATGTATGCCTTTAACTTTAGTCTTAACCAGGAAGCTGCAAATGCATGGTGTAGAATGGGAAAGCAATTTGAATAGCTCAGGGAACTTGCTTTCATTTTAAAGCTTTGGGTGTTTTGCTTTGCTGTGACTTTAAATTTTTTAGAGTAGATATTCCTAGATGATCATTCCTGCCTAGTCTTCAGTTTTCCTTAGTATTTAGAACTATCATAAGACCATTGTCTTGAAACTGATTGTTTCAAACGAAGAAGGTGGAGGAAAGAGGGAGAGAGTTGTGATGAGCATCTATTGGGTGCCATTAGAATGGTGATCTCAGTTTTATGTCACCTAATCCTCACAGCAATTCTGTAAGGTAAGTGATATTATCCCACCATATGGATAAGGATAAAGATAAAGATCAGAGAGGTTAAATAACTTGCTTAAGAGCCAGAGTGTGGTAGAGCTGAATTTCAACTCTAGGTTTTAAGCGCATCCAACCCTTTGTAGTCTCCCATCTCCTTTTACTCTTCCCAAACTGTGGGAACAATTCATTCACCCACCAGTGACTATTGGGTTGCCTATTGTATGCTGGGCTGTAGGGGCAGGGGAGAATAGTCCATGCTCCCAGATGGAACAAGAATGACATAAGGAAATTTACCTTGCTGTGGAATTACTGGTGATCTCTGGAGTGGCAGCAGTACAAGCAAGCTGCTCAGACTTGGTAAAAGATGATGTTGGTTTGGACTAGGCATCCTTTGGATGGCAGAGAATGTGCAGGGAAGTGGTAGATTTGAGAAATCTATTGGAGGAAAAGCTGACAAGATTAGGAGTTGATAAGAATTTAGAAGGAACTGGAGGAATTAAGGATGACTCCAAGTTTGACTTGAATTGAGGGTTGTTGTTGCCTTTTACTGAGATGGGGAAGAACAAGCTGGGGAGGTGGACTAGAGTAATAATAACATATAATATCTATTAGATATACCCATGAGGAGGTGTCCAGTAGGCAAGTAAGTATGTGGGAACTCAGTGGAGATCTGGGATGGAGAAATAAACTTGTGTATCACTTCAAATGGTATGAAGTTAAGTGTGATTAGGGAAAGCATGCAGATGTATTTCTGGTAATACAAGCCTGAAGCATGTTATTGATTTACTTCTATGGAGAATCTTCAACCAATGTGTTAACTTGGTCTTATACACAATCCTAATAGCACTTGCTGGATGGGGAAGCAGCCCATCCTGTAGTGACTGCATGGAAAATATTAACCAATAATTACATAAGCACATTATGCAAATGCCAATAGTTAGCAATTTTTTTTTTGACTGAACTATATGCCAAACATCCTTGACTCTCATGAGAGATTGCTTCTGAGAGCATGCACATGGGGATTCCAGATTGAGATCACAGCCACACAACTCTTCTTTAAGTATAGATAAATAGAAAAAAAGTTAAGTTTCCAGTAAGATGCTGAAATTAGATCATCTGGGATCTCTCACTAGCTAATTCACTGTTACGTCATAGTCTCTTCTCTTACAAGCGCATTGTCTTTTTTTAATGCGCTTGTAAGAGAAGAGACTATGACGTAACAGTGAATTAGCTAGTGAGAGATCCCAGATGATCTAATTTCAGCATCTTAATAGTTTCTGCTGGGTATTGAGGGGGGGAGCGGGAGGGGGCGGAGTGGGTGGTAAGGGAGGGGTTGGGGGCAGGGGGGAGAAATGAACCAAGCCTTGTATGCACATATGAATAATAAAAGAAAAATGAAAAAAAAAAAAAAAAAAAAAAAAAAGACATTTTGGATATTGTATACCCAGGCCACTCTTAATAAACAGAATTATAAACACTTTATCTCAGATTGCCAAGCTTTATAGGAACAATAGATAAATTAGACTGAAATTTGCAGTAGGCAAACCTAGAAACAGTCCAAGTGTCCATCAACAGGACACAGATGTGAGATAATCGTTTGGTGGAATGGTACACACAATGAGGTTGAATATAAAAAGACTTTATTAAATAAAGGAGCCAGACACAAAGTAATGCGTACTGTATGATCTCATTTATAGAAAGTTCAAAAATGGGCAAAAGGTAACAGGACAGGGGGGTGAGGGCGGTAAGGACTGACTAAAAAAAGGCCTGAGTCAGCTTTCAGGGGTGACAGAAATGTTGTATGTATTGACTATTGGTATATTCGTTTGTCCAAACTCATCAACTTTTGGATACTTCGGTTTGTATATTTCCCTGTATTAAAGTTTTATCTCAGTAAGAAACTAGAAAACAGTGAAGACTGTATACTGAGTAGTTGTGTGCGGATGAGTACAGGGAGCACATTCTTAGAATCTCAGTGTCAGAAGTCCAGAGGAAGTCATCTGTCTTTTCATCCCTTCAGATCCAAAATGACTTTTTTTCCAATGGTTAGCTAACTCTACAGTGTAACATCTATTCCTACAATGACATACTTAATTTATTGTGAAAACCAGGATGTTAAAAAGGGAGTGCTGTTGTAAATGACAGTGAAACAGTAGGTAAAAATCATGATAGTTTCTGTTTCTGCACTGTCAAAGTGAGGCGCTTCACTACAGTCACAGCCGGAGGCAGACAGTGGCCGAGCAGGTGATGCCTGAGGGTAGAGCAGCCTGGGCCTGGCCGTACTAAAGGGGATTAAAGGGGGAGGAGGCAGTGAGATGGAAGGGAGAAGGTGAATATTTTCTGGAGCAAGAGTAGATATGTTTCTATGAGTTGTGATTTATACATGAACTTAAAAAGAATTTTTTTTGTGTTTAAGTTTCCGAAGTTGTTCATATGTTTTTATTTGTTCCTTTGAAACAGAAGATTGTGCATAACCCCCTTCAAAAATGGAAGATGGAAAGCCCGTTTGGGCGCCACATCCTACAGATGGATTTCAGCTGGGCAATATTGTGGACATCGGCCCTGACAGCCTAACAATTGAACCATTGAACCAAAAAGGCAAGGTGAGTTTCTCAGAAGGATTTACAATGTGACGCTTTCAAAAACAGACATCTTTCAAAATAGATAGCTTCTGTCTTCTTAATGTAGTAGATATTCCTGGCCTAGGAAAGGGAAAAGCACAATTATGCTAATTTAATGCTAGTTTTCTGCTGACTTCTTTGATTAAATGAAAAGTATGTACGCTAGGGGAAAAATGTGTCCTATGATAAAATCAGACAGAAATTTAGTGAATTCGGAAATAGCTGTTTAATAAAATATAAACAAAAACTTTTTTACTACTATGCCACATCATTAAAACTATTAGTATGTCTGTGATGTATTCAACGTGTCATGAAAATGTGAAAATGAATGTGGTTGTATTATCAAATTTAGCTTTCTGTTTTTACATAGATCTTTGCTTTTTAAAAAATACATTTTATTTAAAAGTTATTAGCATGTGATTTGGATAAATATATTTCTATTATGTAAAGATACTTAAGTCTTGAGACTATCCATCTTATTGTTTTTACAATAATGATAGCGTAAAAGAATGCTTTAATTCTATAAACATGTTATTTCCTTTTATTAAAGCTTAGACATAGACTAAATAATAATGCAAAATGCAAGTTTTTTCAGAGAGAATACTATTCTGTTACTGTAAACAACCCAAGAACTGAAATGCATAGTATATTTTGTGCCGTGTTAGACGAGACCAGTTACCTTCAGGAATGGAGATGAAGATTTTCCTGTATTAACAGGCACCTATTTGTACTTACAGTACATGTAATACATGTTAGAAAGTGAGAAAAATTTAAAACTTCAGTATTTTATGTATTTGAAAGATTTTTTTAAACATATTTTATAAACAGCAAATCAAAGGGCCAAAATGAAAAGAGAAGCATATTTTCCTAGGTGTGTTCTGTTATATGTACTCTGTTATATCTTCAGATGACAAAATAATTCAGCTCAAGTGTAAAAGAAACTTGCTTTAAGTGGATATTCTTTTTTTGTATTTTAAATATTTTGATGTACTTTAAAGTATCAATACTAAATTAGTATTAATCAGATGCACATACAGAATCAGTAGAGACACATCTTAAATTACACATTCATCTAAACTTTATGGATTTGTAGATAATTCCATAAACTAAAGACTAAGTGTCTTTCTTACAAAAATCATTGAGGATTAGCAAATTCTCTAGCTTATTACTTTTATCATTCTCCTTTTTTCTGATCAAGGTCTTAATAAATTATTAAGTATCACAAGAGCCATATGCTTTAAAAGATCCATAAGAGAAGCAATCTTTTGCCTTGATAATTCATGGTCTAGATCCCCATGAGCCTTTAAATGTTAAAAGACTAAGTGCAGGAAACGATGGAGCAGTCAAGAACACCCATGTGACGGAGACAGTGAGGGCAAAGAGAGGGAGTGGGTCCCACTGTGGTGCTTTCAAGTATTTTTTTGATTGTGACACATAGTAAGAACTTGATTTTATATCGTATGTGGATTTTATATGTTTGAAATGATAAGAAATAGGTTTTTCATTTTAACAAGTATGTGTATTACATGTATGTTTGTGTGTGCATTCATAAACAAAAAAGCAGAGTTGATCAAGTGAAGCATATACTACACGTTACTCTGTTAAAAATTTGGTCTTGAAGCCAGGCATGGTGGCACATGTCTGGTGTCTCAGCCAGCACTGGGAGGTTGATCCTGGGGGGATCATGAGGTTGTGGTTAGCCTGGGCTACAGTGCGAGTTCCGAGTTACATAGTGACATCCTGTCTCAAAAAAATATGCAATTGGGCTGGTGGAGGGGCTCAAGTGGTAGAGTGCCTGCCTAGCAAGTGTGAGACCCTGAGTTCAATCCCCAGTACCACCAAAAAAAAAAAAGCTGTCTTGACCCCTTAAGTTTATTTCACTTTCATATTTGCAGCTAAGCTAGCTTTTAGGCTGAAGCCCTAATTATATGGCATCTAAGAGTCTACATTTTCTTTTCCCTGTGTACTTTGTTAGTCTTATATTCTGTCAGCCAACACTCTCCTCTTCATATTTCTGCCTAATTCTTTTGTCCATTTTCTCCTTCTCTTACACGTCTTCCTTCTATAAGCGTTACATGAGTCCTAACCATGGACTAGGTGAGGTTGTAGACTTTGTGTCATTCTTTTTGCCTGGTATCCCAGTCTGTATAGATCTTTGCTTAGCAAATAACTTATTTATCTTTCAAGACTCTGATTGAGGTCATCTTTGTGAAAAGTTTCCACAGATACCCAATCTTTCCCTCCCATAAAATAGAATTAACTATTGATGATGTTTTCATTTGAGACTAGTGGAACTAGGTTCTCCTGTAATCTTCATTGGCTGCATTTGTTTGCACGGATCTTCTTTCCCTATCGTGTATTCTTCTCAAGGGAAAGAGTTATTTTCATAGAGCCATTCTGTCATTGGAGTTCAGTGCTCTATGTTTGCTGTGCAGTTTGTGTTTAATGCTGAGTGACTAATGTGTCCTTTGTTATGTGATATTTTTTCTGTAGGAGGAAAAAGTCTCCTCCATTTTTTTTTTTTTTTTTTGCTTATCTCATTTATGTTTTTATTATATTCTTTACAACATTATAACATTTGATCTGGGCGCAGTGGTTCATGCCTACTCATGAGGCAGAAATTAGGAGGATTCAGGTTCTAGGCCAGCCAGGGCAAAAAGTTTGAAAGACCCTCATCTCAACCCAATAAAAGCTGGGCATGATGGTACACACCTGTCATCCCATCTACTCAGAAAGTGTAAGTAGGAGGATTGCAGTCCAGGCCAGCCCATGCATAAACAGTGAGGCCCTATTAAAACAACAAAAGTAAAAAGGGCTGAGGGTGTGGCTCAAGTGGCAGAGTGGCTACTTAGCAAGTTCAAAGCCCTGAGGTCAAACCCCAGTAGCACCAATAAATAAGTAAATAACAGTTGAAAATATGATGGAATCAGACTGCTGATAGAAATGCCGTTCCCAAACAGTAATCAAAGAAACATGCAGGAGTTGCTCAGCAGGGCAAAAGGAAGTTTTACTTCTGCAGAAGGGTGCAGCCACTGACCATAGTCTGATAGGCAGAACACACTGAGCAGGGAGTCAGCTCAGTTTTTAATCTCTCTGCCCCTCACCTTGATGGACAGGTTTGGGTTCACAATCTTCCTGATTGGCTAGCTATTGTTTGGAGTAAGGGCAAGATTTTCTGACGCAGTGACATTTTTACAGCTCAGTGAGAAAGTGATTTCTCAAGGTCCCTTGAAGATAGGGGATAGGGGCTGACATTTTACTCAGTTAAGAAAAACATCTCTTCATCCCACCTCCTCCATTTAAGAAAAAAAAAATCTTCTTGATTAAGCAGATTTTTTTTTTCTTGGCAAGCAGAAGAAAATGGGGTCTGGTTGATAATTTGGGGTATAAAGAAGGAGAGGAACTATTTGTCAGGGCTTGTCTTAGCCTGCTGTTAATATTCTCATTCTAGCAACCCTGTCTTCCCCCCCTGCTCCACCTTTCACTCCTCCATCTTCTAACTTCGTGGAGTCTTTTTTTTTTTTTTTTTGTGGAGGGGGGACATAGCTTCTTCCAAGCTAAAACCAAATTGTGGAGTCAAGGGAGTCCTTAACCCTGTTGCCAAGGCTGTGACAAGTGGGTACACATCATTCTATAACAATAGCAGCTATTTCTGAATGAATTTTTCTATAGAACAAGTGTCGTAACTGTGGATTGTTTTATATTATCATTTGTGTAGTTAACATAAATTATGGATTATTTTAGTTTTGTGGTCTAGCCTCCAGACTTTTCCACATTTATAACATTGAGAACACATGTACTGGGTTATAAATAATTAACCTCCAGAGTTTTTAGAGCATAACAATATTGTAAATTGAAACTTTGAGTCGATGTAGTCCTTATAGCCTGGGTTTTACTTTGTAAATAAACTACAATAGTAGTCTTATCTTTGGCCTTACACAATATTCTTGCATATTATATATATGTGTATATATGTATGCATACATATGTATATACATATATAGACCTACAAATACCATTGTTACTGTTATTTTTTGGTGCTGGAGATCAAACCCAGGGTCTGTACACACTAAATAAGCACATACTCTACCACTGAGATACATCCCAACCCTACAGATATTACTTTAAAATAATTGAACCATTTTTCCTAAGACTTTTGTTTTGTACAACTGGAAACTTCAACCTCGATAGTAATTGTAATTGTTTAAAGGTATAAATTTGTGAATAATTGTTAGAATAACTTGGATTAAAATTTAATTCTCTTTAGATGTCATTTGAGATTATTTGTTTTTTCCTAAAAGAGAAATTTTGCAGTGTCCACCATAGCATTTAAATGAAGGTTATTTTTAAATGGATACTTATAATTTTTTGGACCAAATGTTTTTGGATACTGTCTATGTATCTAGCACATTTGTATTAAATATGTTTTACCCAAATAAAAGCATAAATGTAATCGTTTTTGTTATACTTTATTGAATGTTACTTTTTCTATTTTTGAAGCAACAATTCTGTGTATACAAACATTAAAATTCTTATTGTCTTAAAAATGTGCTAAGTAGCACATTTGTAAATACATATTTAATATTGATGTTCTTCTTGTTTTGTTCCACTGAAGGTGCAATAGCCTTATGCTGTTTATTTCCTGATTGCTGTTGTTGATTCCTGTCCATAGTAATAGAGTGGGTTATGATTTTGAATAAAGTTATTGTCCTGTCTTTTTAAGTTATAGGATCTCTGTTTTATGTTAATAAGTCATACATTGTTATCATTTTTAGAATGTGTGTAACTCATTAAGCTCCTTTATTTTTCTTGCTAGCTGTAAGCCTCCAGTTTAATGAGTTTTTATTGTGTTTATGTTAGACATTTTTGGCTCTCATAAACCAAGTGTTCCCTGCAGAAGAGGACAGTAAAAAAGATGTGGAAGATAACTGTAAGTATAAGTTGAAAGCTATTTCTCAGCATAGAAAAAGAAACTTTACTTTCAGAAAATAAATTGATAGATATATTAAAACTATACTTACTAGGTTCAGGAAAAAATGTAGCCTTTTGACAGGAGGGTTCATGTAAGTGGAGGAGCTTGAAAGTCCTAAGTTAATTATTGTCACAGATGTGCACTTTGGTGAAGGTGTCTCTTAAATGTCATTTTCAGTGTTATTTCAGCTTTGAGAATGTATGGAAGGTGATAATTTCCTATGAGACTTGAAGGTCTCATGAGAATAGTCCTAAAAGTTATTTTGAACCTTATGTAGAGTCAGGTGATTTTTACAGTAATAAGATGTGGCTCAGTAATTTGGAAGTTGGATTGGTAGGAATCATTTAACATTAGTGTTTGAAGAAAACAAGCATTTAAAACTACTGCTCTATTACTACTAATTGAAAATTTTATTTAGGAAATTATATTAAAATACAATATTAATTTGACTTATAAATACTTTAGCATGTTTAGTGATAAAAACATTTATTCAGTGAGCAGACTCTTTTTATTCTTATGTTTTCAGCATTAAGAAATAATCACATTGCAATTTTTTATGGGGAGTCAGCTTTCTGTTAATATGACAAGATACCTCAGTTAATTTAAAAAGAGGAAAGGTTTATTTTGGCTTACAGATTTGGAAGTTTTAGTCTATGTTCGGGTGATCCCATTGCTTTTAGGCCTTGGATGAGGCAGTATATCATGACAGGAGTGCATTGTGGAGGAAGTTGCTCCTATCACAGCAGCCAGGAAGCAAAGAGAGTTAGAAAAGGCTGCATTCCTTCTACCCACTTTGATGGCATGACTCAAATGACTTACCTAAGGTCTTCTGCAGGGCTCAGCTCTTAAAATTCCCATCATTCCAGTAACACCAAGCAGAGGACCAGGCTTTTAACACATGAGCCTTTGGGGACTTTCTAGAAAGTGGCAGCAACAGGGGCAGGCTAGGGGCATTACTTAAGGATCATGTCCAGTTTTCATGGAATTCATAAAAGGCACTTAACATTTGAAACTCTAAAAGATAAGAGAAAGGTACCGACTTGTTCTTATCATTTTCACTGGTGTTTATGTGTAACTGAGCCTGTAAGATCCCATATGTAAATAGGGCATTGAGGAATAGTGGGCAAGGAGAGGGCCCTGGCTGTGGGCTCAGACGGCCCGTGGTCTGATTCGGACTGTGGTTAGGAAGCTTGTTGGCCTGTGGCCACTGTGACTCTTGGGAGATTCTCATCTGTAAGACGAGAGTAATAAAGTACATGTTGCATACTTGGAGATGAGGGATTTAAAATGCCTGCCATAGTCCTTCCCCTCGGACAGACTCAACAAATGATAGCTATTATTCTTAGGTGCAAAAGTTGAGGAAAGAGTGTGTGGTTCCTTCATTCTCCACAGTTACTGGAGAGTTCATCTGATGAGCTAATGCATTTTTGAACAGCAATCAAAGCAAAATAAAAAGAAGAATGAGACTATACTGTAGCTAAAATAAGAGAGAATATCTTTCTGTTGAAAATTTTGAGGGTATGCAAACTACTAACTAACACTTCTCATATATTAAAACATTTTGATTCATATAATATATCCATATCTGGTTAAACATGATAGATTGAAGTTTTTAAATCCATTGATGTACTTCTGGTTTTGTTGCACTGCAGGTGTGATAGCCTTGGGCTGCTTATTTTCTGCTTTCTTTTATAGATTCCTGCCCCACAGAAATAGAGTAGACTATGATTTTGAGTAGAATTACTATCCTGTTTTTGGGTTAATGCCTTGTTAAATGATAGGAACTCTATTGTATGTTAATAAAGAGCATATTGTTACCATTATTACAATGTATGCAACTTTATCAAGCTCCTTTATTTTTCTTACTATCTGTAAGCCTTCAGTTTTTGAAACATTCTTCCCATTTACTTTGCCTTGATATGCTTGGCTATCCTTGAGAAGGCAGGTGGTGAGTATGGAAGGGGGTAAAGAGAGCTTGTACTCATTCGCACGTCAGTATATGTTTATATGATTAACTTTTCAAGGAACTGTACTGTGGGATTAGGAATTTTTACTTAGAGGAAGCAGATGATATCATGTAACCAGGTGTTTTAGCGGCAGGTGAGGTGTGGGGGAGTCATTCAGCAGAGTGCTTTGAATAAAGACATAGCAATATGTAGGCCAGGCTTCGAGGGGATAAGTGTGGAAAAAGAGTAGGGATATAGAAAGGTGATGAAATACTCAAACTAGGGACACTTCTGCTGCTTAGCCCTCTCCAAATCCTTCCTCAGTTTAGAGGGCAGCTGCTTTTCAATTGTTAGGAGGCTCCATCTACTTCTTGCTCTTTTTTTTTTTTTTAAATCTGCTTTAATGGCAATTGGAAGCAGCGAGGCCCTTGGAAAGTGACCTGGCTGCATGGTATAAGTGCAGAAACATGGACTTTCTTTGTTGAGATAGGTGTAGCAAGAGACTCATTGATAGCATTGATTAGGTGTTGAATTGTATGCCAGGCATGCATGCAGTGTAGACACAACCTCAGTGAGGGACCAGACACAAATGAATGAAGTAGCATCTGCCCTATGGGTTTCGTTTAGTAGTCAAAACCATATATGTATGGTCAGCACCATAACGAAAATATAAAGAAGAGAAGATCTCTGGTGGTGGTGGTGGTTAGAATGGCGAAGTTATCATTTGTGAGATAACTTTTGAACTTAAGTATAGGTAACTTTTTGTTTTGATTTTTGGTTGGGACTGGGGTTTGAACTCAGTACTTTGTGCTTACAAAGCAGACTCTCTACCACTTGAGGTACACTTACAGTCCATTTTGCTCTGGTTATTTTGGAGATGGGGGTCTCGCAAACTATTTGCCCAGGTAACCTTGAACTGCAATCCTCCCTATGTCAGTCTCCCAAATAGGTGGCATTACAGGCGTGAGTCACAGCACCTGGCAAACATAGGTAACTTTTTGACAGAGAGGTAGAGGATATTCTAGGTAGAAACCAATGTGTAAATAGTTTCTAGATTTGATATACAGTTCAATCTGTCTATAAGTTAGATCATACTAAAACAAATTGTAGAAAATTATATAGAAAAGACATTTGAATGCAGGTTAGAGCCTTGATAAGACTTGAATGTGAGGGTTGATAGTTAATAGAGAGCCACTGATTTTTTTTTGAGGCAGATATTTAATTAGAGTTCTTGTTTAGTTAATGTGCTGAGCAGTCTGGATTAGCAAGAGAGACTGAGACAATAGACAGGTAAGAGGCTACTATAATACCAAAAGTGGCAATGAGCCCTAAGCAGGGATGGGCAGTAGAAATGGACAGAATGGATAGACAGTTCAGAGGTTGAGATTATGCTGCTTTTGGCATGCTTGCCATAAGCCTGGCAATTACTACACGTTTTATGTTATATAAAGGCTTGGATGTTGATTTATAATAAGGAGGATGAGAGAAGATAGTTCTGGTGTTGGTATGGTTTGCAGTTTCTATGACTGGGAGAGTGTGGGGATAGTAACAAGTGAGGTGGTTGAGAAGAGGGTGGTTTCATCTGCTCTAGCATGTGGTGAAGATGAAGCGCAGGGGACTGGAGGGCACTGGAAAGAAACTAACATATCATTAAAACAAACACTAGAAGAACAGGGTATCAACCTCAGTTCTGCCATTACCCATCTCATATCCTGGGATGAAACATAATTTCTCCAGGACTCTTCCTGCATCATGTTAGTTGTCAGGAGTGAATGAATGATCTGATGGTTCCTTGCCATTCTACAGTTTTCTCTTTTATGTTTTACCTTTTAAGATACCTAGAATAGATTAGGGTCTCATTAATAGTACTCAAATAGTACTTTTTTTCTTTATATTTGAATTATACTTGACCAACCTTCATTGGCATGTATTCTTCTGGTACTCACCAGATGTACTTCCTTAGTTGGGAATTCATCATTTAAAAATCCCACATAACATGTATGTAAACTGGATTTATTTTGGGCAAGCATTCTAACTCCACTTCACCCCTAGGTGGATTTATGTTAAATCAGTCCTAGGGGTTTATATGTACCTGGGTTTTAAAAAGATAGAATTAAATGTAACCTAACAAGTGAATTTTAGGTTGGGTCAAAGTGATTGTGATTAGGATAATATTGTTTTCTTTTCTTCTCTTAAACTGTGTGATGATTTAAAATTTTATGTCTTAGGTTCACTAATGTACTTAAATGAAGCCACACTCCTCCATAATATCAAAGTTCGATATAGTAAAGACAGAATTTATGTGAGTATGTAACCTATGGCTTATGTTTTTGTGGGGATAATTAGTTTGCATGCCACTGTTTGATTTCATTAGGCTTAAAATTTTGTACTGGGAAATCATGCTTGATCTGAGTCTGTTGAATAGCACTTGAAATCCATGAAGACAAGGATTGTTTTTCTAATTTGCTGCTGTACCTCTAGGACTTGGAAAATGCCTGGTACATAGTGGGTACTTGGTAAATATTTGTTAAGTGAAACAGGAATTCAGAGCATCATTTAATACCTTTCAGGCTTAAAAATGTCTAATGTCAGTATTTTTTAACTGACATTAACATAACATTATTATGGATTTTGATTTCTTATTTTTGTATATATGTCTGTAGATCTGTTAAAGTAATTTCACTTTTCATATCGTTTTGTAGAGAATTTATTGCAGCATATAAGGATTATATATTGCAATGTAAAATTTTAAATGAGGAAAAATCTGTAAATTAGAGGCAGTATCTGAGGAAATATCAAGAACACACAAATGCTGATCAAAGAGCCTAAGTAATGGCAGTGTTTCAACAGACTCTAGAATATTAGAAAAAGAAAGATAATGCTTTCAATGCATATAGAGTTTGTACCAAATCATTCAGGTGACAACTACTGTGTTTTACTGTATTTATATTATGCTTTAATCATAATTATTCATTGGCACGTACAAGATTTTATTCTAATATGACCTAATCATAGATTCTTTTGTTGGCTGGAGATAAATTACCCCACTCTAGTTCTCCTATTATAAAGATGGGTCTCTTCATTATTTTTGAACGAAGAAAGCACATAGCTTCTTTGACACTTACTAGATCAAATGACAGCCTTAATCTTTTATATCACTATCAATTTGCCTAATTGTACTTACTTAATTCTGACTAAATTACATCTACTCTTTGCCATCTGTCCAAATAGTGACAGCTGGGAAATAGAGCTAGTCTGTTCCAAAAGCATTTACTTGCCTTCTTCTGATTATGCATAGTATGGGGACTTTACTTTCCTCCTTGATTCTTTTTTTCAAAATCAAGCAAATAAAGAGTATTTTTAGCTTTAAATATGGGTATTTTTGAATTAGAAATATATTTAGAAACAAAATTCACTCAATCAGCTGCCTGATGTTGAGGAACTTCTAATGTGTGCCAAATGCTCTTTTAGATACTGAAATTTTATAAAGTTTTGAAGCTTGTTAAAGAAGCTAAACTTATAATAAATCACTTCGGATATAGTCAGGATACATTATCTTTGAAGTAGAACTGGAGAACCAGTATTTTCAAGGTTAACCAGAGCCATGATTGGTATGCTTTTTTCTCTAGCCAGTTAAGCCTTTTAGTTACAAAAAAACCATTAAATGTCAGCAATACATAAATATAGCTGTTTCTGTTACATGTCAATGATGAGGCCATTACTATTGTATAGTACATGTACATATATACATATACATATATATAAGTGTAGGAAGCAATTTAGAGTAATAGTTTAAGGTTTTCATTTTGAGTTTCTTGCTAATCAGAGTAATCACTAATCTCCCTTATATTTGAGTAAAACAATAGCTAATCTGTGTTTTTATGATTATTAAAATCTCTGAAACTTCCCTTTTGTTTTCCCTAGAAAGATGAAAATCTGGAATTTGTTTTATTGTTTAACTGTACTCTGGGAAACATCTTTGGGAGCATTCCCTGCATTTCTAGATGAATAATCTGAGAGTTCAAGATTTCCACACCATTTCTCTTCCATACTTAGAAGCAGGAAAGTGAAAAATATGGTTCTGTGTGCCCTAGTTTTGTTTACTAAACCACAACTCTCTATCTACCCAACAGGAATTTTATAAACCCTACTGGTAAAATGTATTGACGTTTTAAATTTAAATTCCAAATTTAAAAGAATCTCATTAAACATTTAGCCTGTCAGTGGTAGCATATGTTGTTTTGCAGATGTCTGGGACCAAGTGGTCACCTCCGAGTTAAATCACTCCTTAGCATTCACTGATGGGGATGGGCCCAGAGTGTGCTCTGACCTTTCTTAAATCCTTCAGTAGGGGTGAAACAGTCTATGTGAGAATACAAATGAACAAAATTCAGCTAGGAATAGAATGAGAGGGTAGATTTTGTAAGTGGAATCTACAGAAGAAACCCAATTGAGACAGAGGTTTTTATAGACTGAGATTTTTGGTAGTGATACCATGCACCTGAGAGAACATGTAGAAAGGGGATGTTTTCTGTGAGGCAGAGGAAGGTGGACAGAGATAATCTTGACTTTGGATGTGCTGAGTTTGAGGTTTCTGAGTGATAACAACATAAAAAAATATATATTATGAGTTGGAGAAATAATGAGTCCTAAAAGTCAGGGAATACTTAGGACTAGAAATGCAGACTTTGGAATTCTGTTTGTAAAGATAATTGGAAGTCTCTGTTTGCTGTGTATTTCTTTTTCCCATTAGCCTTGTTCAGCTTTAAATGAAAATAGTAATTGGAAAATTCCCTGTTTATGCTTTTCCCACATAGACATATGTCGCCAACATTCTGATTGCAGTGAATCCATACTTTGATATACCTAAAATATATTCTTCAGATACAATAAAGTCCTATCAAGGAAAATCTCTTGGCACAATGCCACCTCATGTCTTTGCAATTGGTAAGTGATTTAATTATATTTGAATTTTTAGATTTACAGCATTCAAATTTTATTAGTTTTTCTTTTGGAATAATAAACTGCACCACACATTGAATATATGCTTTGGAAGACCTGTGTGGATATTGGGTGCATCAGCATTGTTAGGAGCTGGTATCTCAGATGAGATGAAGAGGATTTCTGCAGCTACCTTGAGCATCACTATCTTCGGTGAATGCCTGTGTCTTCTCAGGTGTCTCTGCCCAGGTGAAAGGGGGATGTAATAAAAGTTGACCTAATGGTACTTTTTGACTCATCCCTATATTCAGGTCCATCTTAAAAGTTGTCACAGCTTTGAGGCCAGTCCTCATCACTTGTGAGTGCATTACTTGGGTCATATTTGGGCTGTCAGGTGAATTCTCTTGCATCAGGGCTTGAAAATTAAAGGAAATCACAGATATCTGTGGGAAGAGGCTAGTGTTACTTTGACTTTTCTCAGCCTCCCTCATCTTGAAGCCAGAGCCCTTTTGCTCTGGGACACAGAGAGATGGAATTATACTATCATGATTAGAGATTGCCCCACCTCGCTTCTACCAAGCCCAGCGGTGTTAGCCAACTCCTTTGCATCCAGACTAAATCAGTAGCTGAAAATCATACGTGGGTTTCTTGGTGCACCCTGTTTTTCTCTGGGCATTAAGTTTTGGCCTAATCACCCCTCACTTTTTCAGGTTTGGTTGATGTGTGTGCTCTGTACTGTGAGACAGTAATATGTCAGGCAAATCCAGTGCTGATTTGGTTTTGGTTCTAAGATGCTTTGATGAGTGTTGGTATGTTTTCCTCTCAGTCTGAAAAGTGGTGCACAATTGTTAGAACATGAATAGTAGCAAGCTCATCACTGGGGATAAGTAAAATGTTTAAAATGTAAATAGACTAAGAACTGGAGACATGGCTCAAGAGGTAGTGCACCTGCCTAGCAAGTACAAGGCCCCAGTACTTCTCTCCCAAAAGATAAATAAACTGCCTCTTTTTTTAGCCTTACTGCTAAAAAAAAAAGTGTTTAAATGATTCTGTAAAAGTAGGTGGAATGGGTTTTAATAAAGTGGATGAGTGTACTCTTGCATCACCTTTGTGTCACTGTAATGAGATACCTGACACAGGCTACTTGTGAAGAAGATACAGAGTTCAAATGGTGTAGCACAGGCTTTGTGATGTGGGTCACCCCTTGACTGCCTCATTTCATGGGTGATAGCAATGGCTTAGAGGAGGCAATTGATTCCATCTCCAACCAGGAGCGGAGAGAGGATGGGGAGGGACTGGAGTTGCTCATTTTATAACAATTCCCCAGTAACCCAAGGCCTTCTACTGGGTCCCACTTCCCAAAACTCCGACCACCTCTGGATAGCACCACCCTGGAGACTGAGCCTTTGATTACAGTGTACCCTTGGGTGGTACCTAAGCCATGTCCAAATCATAGCATTTGGTCTGCATTCTGTCCTTAGAGCAAAAGCCATTGTAAAACCTTTTTCATTTGTATGGGTAGCATATGATTGAGGTGAGAAATAGTTGTCTTATCAAGCCAAATTGATCAGGAACTAATTTTGACTTAAATTTGTTTTTAGACTATATTAACACAATTAAATTGTGTTTCATTTATCTGTATAGACTTAAAGTTTAAGACATTGTATAGCTTAAGTTGTTGTGTAAGGAAGATAGTTAAAAATTATATATAAATAATAAGTGGTGGGCACTGGTGGCTCATGCCTGTAATCCTAGCTACTCAGGAGACAAGAAATCAGGGGGATCATGGTTCGAAGCCAGCCCGGGCAAATAGTTCTCAAGACTCTATCTTGAAAAAAACACCAGAACATCACAAAAAAAGGGCTGGTGGAGTGGCTCAAGGTGTAGGCCCTGAGTTCAAACTCCAGTACCATAAAAAAAATTGTGTATAGATAATTGTAAATGTAGGAAATTTAAAGCAGTTAATTTTGTCTATCTTTGAAATACTGCTATATTCTACAAGATGCTTAATAGTATCATGCAGAAAAACCCACAGAATTCATTTTGCAATTATGTGTTTTTCTCTTCAGAAGAAATTTTGGTCACCAGCCTTCTTAATTGGAAGATTGTTACTTCTTGCTTTTCACTGGGGACTTCATTAGTTCTGCATTGTGAGCATTTTTTATCCCTCTGCTGATCTGCTTTGGTATTAGGCAGAGCGGAGCCACAGCTCCTAATATGGGGACAATTCTCACACAAATTTCAGAGTTGTTTATTTGGATTTCACATTACTTAGCTGTTAAAATAACAAGGAAGAACAATGAAAATAAATACTTTTTGAAATTTTTGAATACTTTTGAATGACCTTCTCTTAAAATTTCATTGCAACTGTTGACACATATTTCAGATTTCCTTAGGAGCAATGGCTCCTACAGTGAACTTTCTGTGACTTACGACTTTGTTTAATGTGTTACTCAGCACTAATGTGTTCTTTTGACTCCAGCTGACAAGGCCTTTCGAGACATGAAGGTGCTCAAAATGAGTCAGTCTATCATTGTATCTGGTGAATCAGGAGCTGGCAAAACAGAAAATACAAAATTTGTTCTAAGGTGAGTAATGTAGAATATTTTGAACAGGTCGACATTACTTTGGTGGTAAAACATGAATACCACAAAATTTGCTAACTTAACCATTCCTAAGTGTACAGTTGAGCAGTGCAAGGCATATTTATATTGCTGTTCTGCCACTCTCCAGATATGCTCCTCTTGCAAAACGGATGCTCTGAACCCATTAAAGAACTCTCTATGTACCACTCCCACACCCCCAGCCTCTGACAAAATGCCATTCTATTCTCAGTTTCCGTGAATTTAACTACTCTAGTTAACTCATAAATAGGGCCATGTAGTCCTTATCTTTTGTGACTACTTATTTCATTTAGCTTGGCCTACAGTTCCCCCATGTTTGGGCTGGCAGTGGTGGCATATGCCCATAGTGTATAGTGCCAGTTATTTGGGATGTTGAAGTGGGAGGATCACTTGAGCCTAGGAGTTTGGAATCAGCCTGGAGAACATAGTGAGACCCTATGTCTTTGGAAAGAAAAGTCACCATGTTGTTACATGTATTAGAAATTTCCTTCCTAAATTTTGAAGGGTGAATAATAGTCCACTGTAGGCATATATTACATTTTGTTTATCCATTCATTTGTTGATAGGCACTAGGGTTGCTTCTATCTCTTGGCTATTGTGAATAGTGCAGTTTTGAACATGGGTGTGCAAATATTTCTTTGTTAACTTGAATAGGTTGACTTTAGTAACTTTGCATATTTTGTGGTACAGTTTGAAATGGAAGGTTCTGTCATTTTTAAGAAACAAACACCTTGTAGAAGCTAATCTGTAGGTTGTTGAAAGCCAGCTCTGACATGTTATTTCCATGAGGATCCTAGTATAGATTAGTGCTGGTTAGGCAAAGGGAAATCCAGGAATGTTCCTTCAAACTCCAAAGTCCAAATGGACATTCTGTTCTCAGTGTTTCTGCTATTTGTGTGTTTGAAGCCATTTTTACCTTAAGTTTATGGGGATTGACCTTTTTATTTCTACTTCCTCATACTCCTCCCAACAAATTTCCTTTGCTGCCATAAAATGAAACTTTTAACATTTTGTTTATAATCATAACATTTTAAAATGGAAGGAACCTTAGCATTCATTATTGTTTCATTCTATCAATTTATGTACCCACTGAAATTAAAGCTAGTGATGAAGATACTGCTGGGACCAACATATTCTGAATTTTTACTAATGTTGTTCTTAATGTATCATAGTTCCTAGATGACTGTTAGGTGCTGTGACCTTCTTTGAAATTTTGCTATTTGCTATGTAAATGTGTATGAGAATCTGAGTTAGTTATGTAAAGCAATTGAAGAGTTTTATGTTTTTAATAGGAAATTCCGGTTAAATGAATACTTCCCAATAGTCTTGGAATTCTAAGAGGTTCAGTTATTCTTTATCTTTTATGTTATAGTCATATGGCAAGTCTATGGCTAATTTATGAAACTGAGCAAAAAGTTAAGGAGCTTTAACATTATAATTTGCACTTGCATTGTAAATCAAAGATTGTTTTTTGTTTTGAAATGTGGCAGACAAATAATCATTCCATTGTGTTTTACCTTTCAGTGTAACAACTTAGATTGATGACTTTCAGTTGCTTAGTTGTTCATTGTCTTATTTTCTGTAGTCATTAAGGTTGAATTAATAGGTGATTGCAGAAGGCTTTGTAGTCTCTTGTAGTGGATGAATAATCCCATGTGAATTGTGTTACATATTTAAAACCAAATGGTTGGTAAAAAATCAGAATATCCCCCCAGAACAGCTTCAAAAAGATAAGACTGATTTAGATGTTAAAGGCAATCTGTATAGAATTTTAAATAAATTTAAACCTATAACATAAAAGTTACATTTGGACAGAAATTCATAATTTTTAAACAGTTATAATGATGACCCAGACTTCAGTTTTGCATTGAATAATAACATATTTTGTATTAAATAATACTAAAATTATGAATATACTGTATGCAATATTATTGTCATCTAGTTTTTTTTTTTATCTTGTATTTTAAATAGATATCTGACAGAATCCTATGGAACAGGTCAAGATATTGATGATAGAATTGTTGAAGGTATTGTCAGTTTTTATTTTCTATTGTTAGGTGTATACTGAAATTAACTTAGAAGAAGCCTTTCAATGGCCATGGACCCACTGCTCTTCTCCTCTCTCACATCCGCACGACCACAACTTCCATCCTCTGCGCCTGCACAATCTTTGCTCAGCCACTTGTCTCCCCCTCATCCTTCACTACATCCTGCCTCCGTCTCTCTCGCGCACTTCTTGCCCCTGTAACAGCACTAAGACCAGTGCAGGGATCTCTCTGCTTTATCATTTCCCTCCCACTCATCCTCCCTCCTACCGCACTACCCGTTGTCCCGATACATATGCTCATAAGTATTCGCATCCCTCTCGCACATGACGCTGTAACGACGCATCACCCGGACACCCGCGTATTCTGTTCCTCTCTCGCCTATATTCGTCTCTACTATAAAGCAGTGACAACGCAGAAGACAAGCTCTATTTTGAGGTTTTACCGGTACCTTTTCTCAGAAAGATAATTACTCTTACAGACGTAGTCCTCGTTCGACGGCTACGCCTCACTCGCTCGCACACTCGGATCTCTTCACACGCTCGCTCTCCGCTTTTCGCTACTCGCCTATGAAAGCTTCTTGCACCCTTCCAGTTCTCGCGAGCACTCCGCTCCACCGCCCGCCACCCTCATCCATCACTTCCGCCCAATTTGCCTCACCTGCCCTGTCTCCACCCCCACATCACATCCTCTCTCATCCTCGGCTCTCATTACTCTCTCACCTTCTTGCTTCTCTCTCTCCCATCCAGCCTCCAGTATCAGGAATGGAGATAACTCTCCTTCTGCTTCTCACACTCTTTCACAGCCTGTCATATCTCTCTCCACTGATCCAATCTCTTATACCATCACCATGCAGCTGTGGTGTTCTGTGTGTCCTGGCATCTGCCTATGTACTGTCTAATCCTTAGCTGAAAAGGGCGGCTCTCTCCCCCCCCCCCCCTCTTCGGTCTTTTTCCTTATCCTCAACTGCTGTTCATTTTAGGCCTCTCCACTCCATTTCTTTCTTTCACCTTTCCTTATGTTTTCTACCCACTAGGCTTACTACCAGTCCCCCAATTCGGCTCCTCCCCCCCCGAGATATGGGGAATTACGCGGCTAGCACACAACCATAAACTGAAAAGCATCTTGAATTTCCACTCCGCAGGCAACTAAATACACGAACCTTAAAGCGACAGAGGTCAACACGAGAAGGGGATCAGTAACCAGTGTAAAGATCAGTTAGAGTTGAATCAACCTGGGTTGTAACACATTTGTACATGCAAGCAATGCTGGAATCTCTCTGTATAGCTATCCTTATCTCAACTAGCAAAAATGCTTTGTCTTCTTATTATGCTTATGTCTTCTCTTCAACAAAATTAGAGATAAAGGCAGAACAGTTCTGCCTGGAAGCAAGGGGGGCAGGAAGGAGAGGGTGGAGGAAGGGGGAAAGGGAAGAAATGACCCAGTGTATGCACATATGAATAAGTGAATAAAAAAAAATAAAGTAAGAACCCATAACAACTGAAAAAAATTGAGTAAGCAAATAGAATATAATAAATTACGGTTTAAAAAAATTTTTTTACTAGCATATAATAGTTGTACAGAGGATACATTGTGATATTTACATATGTGCTTATAATATATCTTACTTAGATCTACCTCTCCATTGTTCTCCTTCCCCCCCTTGCTTAGAATAATTTCAACAGGTTTCAAATTCTTCTGTTTTCATATATGAATATAAAATACATCCACCACATTCACCCTTTCCTTATCCCCGCCGCAACACACTGGTACTCACCCCTGGACAAGAGTTATTTTTCCTTCCATCCCTTCATTTTTTTAAAAAAGTGTATATTGATGGTCCAAGGGGGTTTTGCCTTGGTACTTCAAGCCTGTATATATCATGCTTTAATCAAATTAACCCCTCCCCTTAACTTACTCTTTCTCTATCGCCATGCTCCTCTAATACTCAGCCGCTTACAGCACATTGTATTATCTTCATCTATAGATGGGCTATTTCAATATTTTTCATCCTCTGATGTTTTCTTTTTCACTATCGCCTTCTATAGTCCCCTCAGACAGAACTCACTAATGCAATCTTACTTTCTCTTTCACTATATAAAAATATAAAATATTTTAGAAAAGTAAGTCAAACAATAACTTTCTTACCTGTATTTTGTCACAAGATCTTTGGTTTTTTTTTTTTTTTTTTTTTAATTTGTGATCAACACTCTTATAGGGCTGATGTGCTTGTTAAAACCTTGAACATTTTAGGTAGTAATTTTTAAAGTTGGTGTAACTTAGTGACTTTTTGTAGTTCAGTTTTTCCTATAACATTTACATTTTCTTTTATATATTTTGAGTAATTTTTCTGTCTCCTACACTTGAGTATAGTACCTGAACATAGTGAGTAATCATTAAATATTTGTGGAATTTGACATTACTTAATAGTTTCTCCATGTTAATATTTTTGAGAATATTTACTCTAGCGTTTTTCCTATGGAGACATTTTATGCATATTATTTTGTAAGCTTCCTTCATGCTCACTTTTTGATGAAATATTTTCATTTTTTAATAGCTAATCCACTCTTAGAAGCTTTTGGAAATGCAAAGACTGTTCGCAACAATAATAGCAGTCGATTTGGAAAATTTGTAGAAATTCATTTCAATGAAAAGGTAAGTGAAAGTTACTTTTGAGATGTTTGGGAACATGTTATGTTTGGCGAATGTTTGTGAAAAACACAAGGATCTTATTAGAATTGGTGTTATACTTGAACTTATGGTAAATTTCTTTAAGTTTGTTACTTAATGGATTTTTAGTCATATATTATATTTAAAATTTTTTGAGACAGTGTCTTGCTCTGTAGCCCAGTTTGGCCTTGAACTTGAGATCCTCCTGCCTTACCCTCTTGAGTGCTGGAATTATAGGAAAGCACCACCGTGCCCAGCTTCTTTGTTATTTTAGATAGGACAGTATGTATTTCACTATTCCAAGAGCTCCTTTCACAATTTATAATGCAAGTACTGGATTTGACTATAGCATTGAGTATAAGTTTACATGTAGTTTTTTCCCCTATAATTTATTCTTTTGATGTTTTGATTAATATGTAATCATTGTACATAATTGTGGGATACATGCATATATATTCATATACATACATATATCTCTATCTGTCTATCTCACATACATACCAGATATACTGATTACATCAGGGTAATTAGTATTTCATCTTCATTCTTTGCATTTGGTGCCTTTGAGCTTCTATCTTCTGGTTCTTAATAAATGATAGGATAGGTTATTGTGGACATCAGCATTGAGCTATAGTGCAAAGTCAATTCTGATCCTATAGAGCTTCTGATATGGATAGAGACTTGAAAATGTTTAAAATTAAGGATGCCCTCCATAAATACTCTAAGCTTATGTTTAGTTATCTGTTTTTATACCTATATTTGATGAATATTATAACCTTTTTGGTAGACACATTTATTAGAAAAGATAAATTTAGCATTGTTAATTTATACTTTGTCTTTAAACGCAAAAAATATATCTTTGTGTTTTTTTTTTTTTTTTTGTAGAGTTCAGTTGTTGGAGGATTTGTTTCACATTATCTCCTAGAGAAATCTAGGATCTGTGTTCAAGGCAAGGAGGAAAGGAATTATCATATCTTTTATAGACTGTGTGCTGGGGCTTCTGAAGATATTAGAGAAAAACTTCATTTGAGCTCCCCAGATAATTTTCGGGTAGGTTGGAAGAAAATAAATTTCATACAATGTTTGCAAATTGAATTGCTTCAGTCCTAAAACTTATTTTGGTGTGTTTGGATATCTAGTTTTGTACATACCTAGTTTACGTTGAATAAAATACACATGTCCTCAGTATGTATGGGTTCTGCTTCTGTGGTTTAAGCTCACTGTGAATTCAAAGTATCAGGAATGAAAAAGTTGCATTTGTATTGAATATTCCAGGCTTCTTGTGCTTGTTATTATTCCCTAAACAATAAAGTGTTACATCTTTGCATAACATTTACTTTGTATTAAGCAATCCAGAGATGAGTGAAAGTATATATGAGGATATGTATAGGTTATATACAAATACTGTGCCAAATACTATGAGGATTTGCAGATTTTGGTGTCTGGTATCCACAGGGGGGAGGGGTCAATGAACCAACCCCCCCATGGGTTCCTGGGAATGACTATATAATGTATTAGGATGATGGCGGTAAAAAGGGGATCTCTACCGAGGTCGATTTCTGAGGTTATAATACAGGCTAAGCATCTCTGATGCAAAAACCTAAAATGCTAAACACTTAAATCTTGGTACTTTGGATTAAGGGTACTCAACTGGAAAGCTTACACAAATACTCCAAGATTTAAAAAACTCCAAATTTCAAACCACTTACCACAAGTATTTTAGATAAGCAGTGCTCTACCACCTCTTTAACAGTAGATGAAACGCTGTGTAATGTGATAGGGAAAAGGGCAGATGTTAAACCCATACTGATTTCAACTCAATTAGAAATTTATAATAGTTCTGTACTACTAGCTTTAAAGTTACCTTTGACTTATCTGCAAGACAGTTTGACCACTGAATTAATGTTAGTAAGGAACACATGATTCCTTAATACATTTCAATAACAAGTATTTAGTGCTTGCCTGTTGGGTGCTAGACATTGTGCCAGGATTAAAATGATATGCAGTCCTTGTCTCTGAACAATTTAGAATGTGGTGGGAAATGTACCCAAAGTCTTACTGATGGGTTGAATAATGAGAAAGAGATACAGTGAATGCTGTGGCAGTTGGGAATTTAAAAAAGCTTAGTGGAAGAATTGAATACTTGGTAAGAATCTTTGGGCACTGATGGCTCACACCTGTAATCCTAGCTACTCAGGAGGCAGAGATCAGGAAGATCATGGTTCGAAGCCAGCCCGGGTGAAAAGTTCTTGAGACCCTATCTCGAAAATACCTAACGCAGAAAAAAAAGGCTGGTGGAGTGGCTCAAGGTGTAGGCCCTGAGTTCAAGCCCCAGTACCGCAAAACAAACAAACAAACAAACAAACAAACAAACCTTGAGGTATTTCCAGTGTTAAGTAGTTGAAGAAAGATGTAAAAGGTATTCCTGGTAGATGCAGAAAATGAACAAAAGCAAGACAAGAAACATTCTTTTAGAAAGTGGTGGGAGGGAGACTGGAGAGCCAGCCAAGGTTTTTAAATACAAACACTATCAGAGCTGTGTTTTACTTTAGCTTTAATATGGAGGATGGCTTGAAGTGGGGAGAGGAGGAGAAGGATAGAAACTAAAATCATAAGTAGACTAGTTAGAAAACTATAGCTAGAGTTGAAGTAAGAGTAACTAAGGTACCTGAATTGCAACTGTAGCATGATGGAGGTAGGGTTGTATAATATATTGGAAAGTGACATTGATAACACTGGGATACTAAATGTAGTAGAGAAAGGGAAGAATCTAGAGTAATTTTCAAAAATTTGACTGTGGTAACTGAATGGATGTAAATGCTATGATGGGGACCTGGCATAAGGCTGTAACATTTAGTTTTGAGCCTATGGATCACCTAAGTGGAGATGTCTGGAAAACGATGGGGTATGTTAATCTCAAGATTGGAGTCTGTGGTGTTTAAAACAGTGGCCGTGAGTGGATGTGATTGTGTCGGGAGATGGCGTAATATAGAGAAGCATGTGCCAGCACCCAAACGCTGGAGCTGATAGGGATGGGGAGAGAAAGCACAGATGGAGTTGTGAGAACCACAAGACCTCAGAGAAGTTTCACGAAGTTGTGATTGGGATGATTAACGTAATTTACAAAATCTCAGCTAGAAAATAGTGTCCCTATATAGGGTAGATGGCAGTTAAGGAATGGGCGTAGGAAATTTAGTCCGTAGAAGGTTGTCCAAGTGATAATCCTCTTTTGGCAGGAGTCCTCCATTGGAGAGTCTCTGGACTTAATTATTGCTCTGTATATGTGTGCTCATTCATTGGGTTTTGCAGATAGCATCGCTTTCACTTCAAGCAGTTTTTTAGAAGAAAAATGTACAATTGGAAATTTTAAAACTTTATTGATTTTGCTTTATAAACGTATCTGTTTATATGCTTGTAGAACATCCAACCTTCTGTAGAACTCTCTAAATTAATTGAAATTTGAAGTTAGTTGCTCACCTAATCTTCATGAAAATGGAATAGGCATTGCTGTAGTTTGGTTTTTAGAAAAGGAATATAAGTTACTTATGAATCATGAATTATAATAATGACGATCTGGCTTTATCAACACTTAATTGATAATAAAATGATGGGACTATTCTGATATTTATCTAGTATTTCTGTTTGCTTGGAGGCTTGGGAACATAATATTTCAGTATTTCAGAATTTATAGCCTTTCCTGGCACAATAATAGGCATCCTACAGGAGCACATACTGAAATTTATCAGAACAGTAGGTTTCTTGCCTCTGTGTTGTGAAACAGCAGGGATGATGGAGAGCAAGGGGGCACACTCTGTTGCCCTATATGTTCCTCTCTTGTGTTTGCATACAAACACGCCCCTTATCCCTTCCCCAAAGAATTCTGATTTAAAGCAACTTGGAAGTGTGTTGGTAATTTCATCAGGTTTTTCTGTAGTTAAGCCCCATAGTGATAACTGATCATGTTGTAAAAGCAAAGGAGAACCCTACAGTAGAGTACTTCCAAATTAGCTTGTACACAAGGAATTATAGAGATACATCTATTTGAAAACATTTGTGTAACTGCATGTGTATTTTAGGGAATAAAAAGTTAAAATGCTCACATTATTAAAACTTTTCTAATATTTTCACGTTTTATGGAAACATTTGGAATAGTCATGCAAAGATCCTTGAATATAAGGAAAGCTTGGATGGAATGACAGTGGATGGCAGGTGCAGTTGCAGCTTTCTAATTATAGAAAAGTTGGAAGAAATAAGTATCTTTGCTAGGTTATTTATTTATTTATTTATTTGTAGTGCTGGGGGTCAAACTTAGGGCCCAGTGGTGGCTAGGCAAGTAGTAGACCACTGAGCTGCTACCCCCACTGCCCAAGGGTTTTTTATTTGTTTTTGAGATAGAGTCTTATTCTACAGTCCAGGTTGGCTTCAAATTTTCAATTCTTTTGCCTCAGCCTCCCAAGTGCTGGGATTACAGGCATGCCACCAGCATGCACCATAGGTTTTAATGTTAGGTTCAGCTAATTTCTGTAAGTCAAATATTTGACCAAGCAATTAGAATGGTGAAATAAAACCCTAGAGAAAACACTTGTTTTGGCTCTACTTGTTTTGGTTAAGCTGTTATTACTCTACTAAATACAACAGCTCTTTTTTTTTTTTGGAGATAGTTGAAAATGCTTGTTAGTTTTATTCCCTTTCTCTTTTTTTCTTTATTTCCTCAAAGATTCATGGGTAGAAAAACATGTCCACATCATTGTCTGATTTTGCTGTATCTCAGCAGTTAACTATAATGAAGGGGTAATGAAACATGCATCTAAAATATTAATTTGTCCCCAAATCACTAAATGCACTATAATTTTCTTCATATGTGTTTGGTTATAATTTATGCCAAGGAACAGTGGAATCATAGTGATAATGATTTTAGAGAAACTGAGATGTTCAGAATTTTTTCTATCTTCTATGTGCTTTTTTTCCTGAATCCTGTACAACAGATTCTCTTTGAAACCAATATATTACAGATTGAATATCCCTTATCTAGAATGCTTGTAACCAGACAGGTTTCAGATTTCGGAGTTTTTCATATTGTGGAATATTTGCATAGATTTTACCCTAATCTGAAAATCTAAAACCCCCAAATCTGAAAATGATTATGTCAATGCTCAAAAAGCTTTAGATTTTGGAGTATTTTGACTTCTGATTTTTGCGTCAGGAATGCTCAGCCTGAATTTTAGTCATACTCCTTCTCTTGTTCTGTGTATTTAAAACACAGCGCTTTTTTTCCTCCTGTGCATATGCTAGGAAAGTGCTCTTCCACTGAGCTATGGTACCATTCCTTGCATTTAGCTTTTAAAATGCTTTAGGAAGCAGTATAAATCATTGAGATAAGAAAAGCTAAAATTATTTGATCCATGAAACAAGTATTATGATTTACATATAGTCACTGTTAACTGTCAGTAAATGTGAGTCACATTTTGAAGAACTGAGTCTAAAAATCAGAAATTAGGAAATCTAGGCTAATACTTCTTAATTATTCTTAATTCAAAATATTACTTGAGTGCTGGCCATTTGGCTCAAGTGGTGGAGCACCTGCCTAACAAGCGCAAAGCCCTGAGTTCAAACCCCAGTGTAGCCAAAATATTGCTTGAAATATTCAACCACAATGTGTGTGCTTATTTGAAACTCCAAAACTTTAATGGGAAGGTGATTACTTACAGTTGTCTTCTATAGTACTTATATTATCAGCTGTATTTTAAAAGCAATGTTTGACACCTAACATTGATATAAAATTGAAGAAAAGATGTAAATAAAGATGTAAAATTGTTGCCCTTTGAAAATAGAAAATTATAGTATTGATTTTTGTTTTAATCATTTAATTAAACTATTTTCAAGGATTAGGATTTTTAATAGCCCTAGTTTGACTAGGAGGAATCAAATGCTTATAAAATATAGAAGTACTGATTTTTATTGAAAGATTAATACTCAAATTAAGTTTAAGAACATTTTTGGTTAATACTAGGAACATTTATGGTTAATATTATTTGATATGGTGAATTTTCTTTTGTTTTGTTCCCCTGTGGATCATACATACTAATTATAACTTAAATTTCTTTGTTACAGTATTTAAACCGAGGATGCACTAGATACTTTGCTAACAAAGAAACTGACAAACAGATTTTACAGAACCGCAAAAGTCCTGAGGTATAGTAGACTACTTTTAAAAACTAAAATATTTGATGTAAAAAAATATATATATATTTTATTTTGGAGCCTAAATAAGATTTCTTACTTTTAGATTTGTTTCAAAAATCTAATCATTTAAGTGTCTCTCTTAATACAATACTTTACCTCTGTTAGTATCTACAGAAGCAACTTGAGCCATAATACACTGCTTTTCTCTTGCTCTTTTTCCAGTTGTGAAGGTATTAAATTGCATCATCATCTTTTAGCATACTTACTTGTGTTTTACCCATTGAGATTAAATATATGCATTAGTCAGATTCCTGTTTTATTGATAAAATACCTGAGAAAATCAACTTAAAATAGGAAAGACTTGTCTACAGCCATACCACCCTGAATGTGCCCGATCTTGTCTAAAATAGGAAAGACTTATTTTGGCTCATGAGTTCAGGTTTCAGTCTGTGGTCACTTGACTCCATTGTTCCTGGGCCCTGGTGAGTCAGGACACCTCGGTAGGGGGATCATATGGTAGAGCGAAGGTTCCCACCTCATGACGGCCAGAAAGAGACAGGGACAAAAGAGAGGAAGGGTTAGGGGCAGGGACAAGACACAGACCCCTGTGACCTGTTCCCTACAGCTGGGTCCCATCTTCTGAATTTCCAGTACCTCCCAGGAGCCTATCAAATGGATCAGTCTATTGATGAGCTCAGATCGGTCCGTTGATGATTCAGTGACCTTCAGAAAACCTATGTCTGAACACTGTTGCAAGTCTTCAACACATGAGCCTTTTGGGAACATTCAGATCCAAACCATAACAGTATAAAATGTGTTTGTTAATTTATTATCTACTTCAAGGCTGAAATAAGCTTTGAAAAGATAATAAATTAAGCATTCTTGTGAAAGGGTGCTTGTATATTACAGAATTGCTCTTTAAAACACCCGACTTCTGGAATGTATTATGAAGAGTTTTATATGTTGGTCTCATTAAGTTTGTTACAGTATTTCTAAAAATAATTAGATTATTCCATGCAGGACTATTTTAAAAAAACATTAAATCTCAAAAGATCTTCAATCTTTGTAAATTTTAATATGCAGTGTTTAAGTAGTAAGTGGTATTCAGTTGTATCTATACAAGTGTCTTTAATTATGCAAACTAAGTCAAGATTGTTCAAGACTCTAGTTAATCTTGCCTTTATTGATTTTATTAAAAGTTACATTAAGTATTTGATTGAACAAGTTTGTATTATAGTCAGTTTTTAATTTTTCTACACTGTGTCTGATATTTTGACTCCTTTCAGACTGAGATGAATTACATCTTAAATCTATTTATATATAAGAGAGAGCAAATAAAATTCCCACTATTTCAAATTTTAAGCAGATGAGTCCACAGTTAATTCTTACTTAATTTGATATTTTATCTATCATTTATATATCAGTTTAGGCACAGATGTGTGAATTATAAGTCATAAATTTTGTGTTATAGCTATATAACACATTACATTTATACATTAATATTTATTTTGTTATTGTCTTTTGTCTTGATAAGACTATATTTTTATAAGATACCATCAAAATGTAGGAGTTAAATTCTTTGCATTAAGATAACTAAGACATTTCCCAGGACATGACAGGTATCCTAAAGCAGGGAAAATATATATTTATAAATGTGAGTTTTTGGCATAGAAGAAACTTTGTAGGGAGGAAAGAAAGGTGGCACTTATTTCCAGGGTAGCATGCATTCTACCAAGGAAGAAATGCAAATTTCGTGATTGTAGATGAAGTATTCTTTGAAAGGAATCTTATTCACATCATTGAAACAGAATGTGTATGTGTATAATATACATATATATATGTATATATGTAAACAATGAATTAATTTGTTTAAATTACTTTTTATGTTTTCTTCATCAGGAGGACGAGGTGACCATATTGACATTAAGCCTTTTGCCTAATTCCATTTGAATGTCTTTAAGTTGTGTGTGATTTTTAGGAGAATGCTGTATTTTTAGTCTGCTATAAAGCAAATATATTCATTAACATTTGATTAGAATTAACATTTGATTAGTTTTTAAATGAAGCAAGCCTTCAATTGCAAGACTAAAAATTGTGCATGATATTTGTTTTCTGTTAACTTGAGCTGCATGCGGTTGTTTCTTTTGCTTCTTTTTAAGAATAAAGTGGAATTTCATTTTCTAGACATTTTCCAGAAATTTCACACATAATTGAACATTTTAAAGAGTTTTGTTCTTGGAAAGACAGAACTTTAGCTGGGAAGCAGTTGTTTACTGGAAGAAAAAAATGTCTTCTGAGGCATCATTAATAGCAATTAATTCTGTTTCCTTATTTTAACTTTCCTTCTTCATTCTCAAGTTCTGGAAAATTCCTAGACCAGTTTTTCTATAATAAGTTATCCTTCTAGCTTCTGTAGGCCTTTCTTCTTTCCCTTTTCTGAGTTTATTATAGATCCTAACAGATGAATGCTTCAGATGCAAGTTCTTTTAAGAGAGAAAACAAATTTTCTCTTCATTTTTTTCTGAAATGTTTTAAGTCATTGCATAAATTCTTAGAGTAAGCCTAATGCTTATATCATGTGTGCTTTACATCACATATATATATAAAACAAGATTAAAAAATATTTCTCAAGCCATTAAAATTGTATCATCCTGTCTAATATTTCACTCTGTTTAACATTGATGTATTTGGAGCTAGTTAACCTAGTGTCATGCTAATTTAAATTTATTTTTTTATCTTTTTGTTGCTTAACTTACTTTTAAGTGACAAATAAAAATTGCCTCTATTTGTAAAAAACTTTGGGGTATGATACATTTTAATAGGTCATACATTGTGGAAAATTAATCAGATTAACTAATATATCCATTACTGCCTCTACTCTTTTTGATCTGAAGAGGTGAAATAATTTTTACCATGGACATTCCCTCCTTTTTCACTGAATTTGTTTTTTATCTACTATCCTATAATTATAATGCTTTAGAATTAAAGTTAGAATTTTATTGCAAAATATCTCTTTCCATTCTTTCAATTGATACTTTTATTCAAATAACTGTCAATTCACGGGTAGTTGTGAGAGATAACAGAGAGAGATCGTGTGCACACATTCCCTACTCCAGCAGTTTTTTGAGTGTGTTATAATGCTTAGGTTTTTCTGTTGACAGATTTTTATTTTGCATGTTACATTCTATTGGTAAACCTGGTGTGGTAGTTTTAGTTTACTAAGGTAATATAAAGATCAGTTAACTGATGCCTTCTTGTTTTGCAGTATATTAAGGCAGGTTCCTTGAAAGATCCTCTGTTAGATGACCATGGAGATTTTATTAGGATGTGCACAGCCATGAAAAAAATCGGTTTGGATGATGAAGAAAAACTCGATCTGTTTCGAGTAGTAGCTGGTGTCCTCCACCTTGGAAATATTGATTTTGAGGAAGCTGGCAGCACTTCAGGTTTGTTCTTTTGTTGTTGTTTTTTAAGAGGAATATAATTAGATAGAATTTCTGTCATTTCTTAGACATGTGAGAAGTCAGTCTGCTTATGTGCACGTTTGTTACAGTTTCTAGAATATGCTGTGTTACAAGGTGACTCTGCCAAAGGAGGGATGTTACATTATATGCTTTGTTTTGAGCAAATTAGTAACTCTGACAAGTAGTAGGTTTATACTTAACTAGTTTCCAACTGATATTATACGTTTAATAATTACCATATTAATTGTCTATTATCCATTAATAGAGAATTTGAAATTTTTCTGACTTGTGGATCTAAACTTGGGTCAGTTAGTTAGGGCAATTAAATACATAAAGGCCTACGTACTTTACTAGTGGGAAGTGAAAACAAATGAAAACTTTCATTCTTACGGACGCTGAAGTAGACTTAAATGCCTGATGATAGTAACCTTTCAACTTTAGGGCTTCATTCTTTATGTAGTCTGACTTTGGCATAGTTCTAAATTTGATTTGTGTCCATGGGTCCAGATCACAGCCACCACCTGTTTTTGTCAATAAGATGTTCCTGGAGCACAGCTACCTCCCCACCTGTGAATTGTCTGCTGGTTTTCATGCTGCGGTGGGAGGGATGAGAAGCTGGGGCAGAGATGGCATGTCCTGCAAAGTCTGAAATGTTTACTTTGTGACCCATTAGGGAAAAAGATTTTTGACCCCTGCATTAAAACTTGTGTCAGATCTTACACCAAGTTAATATAGCATTCAGTAACATGGGCTTTGAGTCAGATCTCTGAGGCTCTCTGAGCTTGGTTTCTTCATTGGCAAAATGAAATCATTCATAAGAAATGCTTTTAAAATACACTATATAGCAATCTTGTACATGCAAAAAAGGAACACAAAAAAAATGAAAAAGACCATTTTAAAAAAGTATGTCAGGACTGGGGAGTATAGCTCAGTTGTAGAGACTTGCCTAGTATTCTTGAGGCCCTAAGTTTGATCCCTAACACTACCAAAAAAAAAAAAAAAAAGAAGTGCTAAGATCCTTCATTCTGTATTCATCATAATCATAATTGAAATATCATAACCGTAATGAGATAGGAGATAGCTTCTCCATTTTGCAGAAGTGGGACCTGTGCAGAAATAATGTACTTGGTTATTAATGAAGCTGTAGATGTTCTACCCCTGTCTGGTTCTATCCCTGTCTGTCTGAGCTTGTGATAATTGTCCCTTGTCACCCCAAGGCCACTGGACCTTGTGATCTGTGAATGAGCAGACTAAAATAGGCAGTCTTTAATGACTTTCATATTTAATGTTGTGTGGTGCTGTGAAATGTATGCGATGAGACACACAGTGTAGTGGAGAAGCACATGTTTTTTAATTAGGCTGTTCTACCATGTCCTGTGTATTTGTGTGACCTTGGGCAAGGTGCTCATCTTTCCATGCCGGTTTTCTCAGCATATAGGAATAATAACTGTCCCTACCTCATGTTGAGAGGAGGAATGAATGAGTCATTAATTATAAAATGTTTTGAGTGCTTGTATTTATCACATAGTAATCACGGCAATTGATTAAAAAAATAAAAGTGAATAAACAAAAATACAGATTAATTTCTCTTTAAAATGAAAAACAATTAAGCATACTTAGATATCTTTTTAGTGTGCACTAAAAAGTTTTATGAATTTTTTAAAGGAGGAGAATTTATTTTGGAATTGTAAGTTATACTAGCATACATTTTGTTTTGCTGTTTTGCATCGTTACACAAAGTGGGCATGTGAACAGTTCTAAGTAACACACACAAAAGATTCTAGGTTAACTAACATCAGAAATGTTAGAAGTGATGAGTGGCATTCTCAGCCTCTTCTTAGTGCCCTTGTGGAAGAACATGCAGATGTGCAGAGTGTCACAAATGTTGGAGAGCACTAAATAATCAAAAGGGAAGTAGCACATGTGTACTTCACCTCTCATCTCTCACAGTTCTTTCTGTTTCAGGGGGAATGAGCAGAATGCAGGGTAGATTCGAATGAGGCAATGGATCAAGATAATGAGCCAAATTATATTTAATTTATTTTGGCCATTCTGGGGTTTGAATGCAGGGCCTCTCACTTGCTAAGCAAATGCTCTACCGCTTGAGCCACACTCCAAGTCTGTAGATTATTTTAATAGCTAAGATTTTGCTATATTAGACTTCATCTTTCCTGTGACTTCCCATAGAGCCAAATGATTTCTTTCTACGTAGAAGTGAGGAGTTTTTTCTTAGCTCTATTTTGGCATGTCCTAACAGTTTTGGGGGGAAAAAATCAGTATTTTTATAATTATTTTATTAGAAAGTTTATTCCCTAATAAACACTTGAAAGTCTTTTAACTGTCATAAGTTTTTGCATGATGGAAATGTGGACAATACTACATTTCCACATAACAACAATGTATGTTATTAAAGGACAAATTTAAAAAACATTTGAGGAATGTTTTTAGAAAGTGAGTGACATGAAAACCCTATTTTATTTTATGGTCTTTGGCCTTTTTAAGACATAAAAATAATTTTATCATCCTAGTCTTACATAATTTCTGAAGGTAATAAGAAACTTTGCAATGTAGTGAAAAAGAAGAAATAACATAAATGAATTAATTCTCCCCTATTTGAGAATTACTTAATTGTAGTGTGTATACACTGAGCAAAGGGGTGATTCACGTCCCCGGAAGAATGGCACAAGATTCTATCATCTTGTTCAGAATAGTGTATAATTTAAACACAGGAATTTTTTATTTCTGGAATTTTCCATGTAACATTTTCAGACTTCAGTTGGTAGCAGGTAACTGAAACTGTGGAAAGTGAAGCTGCAGTTAAAGGGTGTCTCTTATATTGTGGATCTCTCTCATACCATGGACTCACCCTGAGTTAGGGTCTCTCGTTGACCTTGGTAGTAGGGGTGTCTAACAAGAATGGAAAAATATGAAGTGGATTTAGGAGTTACAAATAAACTCTGTTCTATAATTTCATATAACTGAAGTATAATTATAAGAAATGGGTATTGAAAATTGTGCTTAGATAATGTTAACTTCAAATTAAGATATGTTTCTCATTTTTTCTTACTTTTTTATTAGAATATAATAGAATATTTGTTGTACAGGAGATCCATTGTGACAATTCCAAACAGGCTTACATTGCACATTGTTTAGATCAACCCCACCCTTTCCCCCTGTAACTCTCCTCCCATCCCACTTAAAGCAATTGCAAGAGGTTTCATTGTTAAAAATATGTTTCTTTAGGTGGTTGCAACCTGAAGAATAAATCTGCCCCATCTTTGGAATATTGTGCTGAATTACTGGGTTTGGACCAAGATGACCTTCGTGTAAGTTTAACCACAAGAGTTATGCTAACGACAGCAGGGGGCGCCAAAGGGACAGTTATAAAGTAAGTTCTTCAACCCTTGTGCTACACAAATCCTGCCTTGCGGCTTGTCAGGGGAAAGTATATTTTTTGAGCCCACTGAGATTTAAAGTTCATCTTTATGTATCATTCTTTCTTTTGCTTTTGATGTTCTAAAAAGCTGTGATTGATAGATCAAAATTCTGTGCATCTGACTGCAGTAATCCACCACATAAATAAATGGGGGTTTGCATGGCTTAAAGTCATTCCTTGTAAATATTTGACACAAATTTGGAATTTATGAGAGAGGTTTACTTTTGTAATAGCTATGAAAATACATGTTAATTATCTAAATTAATACCTCACTGTTTTAGGCAATAGATTATTTTCTACTTTAAAAGTGGTTTTCTGTGCAAATGATAAAACTTCTGTTAAGTAGAAATCACTTTAGGAAAATACTCAGCAAATGAAGTTTCTTACCTTTAGGATTCTTCATTTAGAGGAAATTGGAAATGATAAGTAAATAAGAATCTAAGTAAAAAAATTTAAAATTAGTAACCAAGAGCTTTTAATTGTGCCTGTGTGTGTATAGTGTTAGCTCAATATCCTATATTTTATGCATTTTTGGGTTTGGTATTGTAGAATAGGATTAATTTAGGCTTATCATCTTGAGGTACTGCAAGAGCTTCATTTGCGAGGAAGAAAGTCAGGCCCTCTGTTCTTTGCTAAATAATTAGTGAGGCAGATGGTGAGTGCTAGTGACTTAATTCAGAAAAATATTCAAAAATTAAAACAAGAATTTTGTTTTAGTGGATAAAATATCTTTAGTAAATTGATTATTTTTGCAGTACTGGGGATCAAACCCAGAGCCTTATGCGTGTTTCCCAGGCCTTCTACCACTGAGTTACACCCTCAGTAGTTAATTTGTTTTTTATTTTTAATTAATTTACTTTTATTTTTTTAAGAGACAGGATCTTACTGTTTTGCCCAGGGTGGCTCTGGACTCTTGAGCTCAAGTGATTCTCCCACCTCAGCCTTCCAAGTAGCTGGGGCTACATTTGCATGCCTGGTACAGAAGGCCGAATAGCTGGTTAGCTGCTTGGTTCCCCAGAAATCTCTCTGGGGCCCAAGGGAGGGTCCATACAGGCATGGGCAGTTGTCCTCAGATATTGCTTCTTCCATTTCCCCATTTCTTCTTTGTTCCAAAGCATTTCTTTTATGTTTTCTGTATGGTGTACCCACATAAAATTCATTGTAAGAAATGATTCTATTGCAGGAAATATAAGTAGGGAAAGGACTAATTAGAGAGTATTCAAGTATCAGGCTGACTTGAATGATTTTTAAAATTTCTTCCAAATTGACTTTTTTTTTTTTGGTGCTTCCATAGTGCCCCATACATTTCATTATGATAAGATTTAGCATGGTGTATGGAAATTTTCCTTTATTTCAGTCTCTTTTCATTAGATTCTAATTTCCTTGACAACAATAGTTTGTGTCTGTATCTGCAACATCTAATGATGTCGTTCCATATAGTTATTTAGAGAGTTGGACAGTTTAGGATTTTAAGAAGTCACCATCTTTACTGAACTTTAAAGTTGTCCTGAATTAAGCACAGTTTGTTTCACATTTAAGAAAAATCAAAAGGAAAATTATTCCTCTGAATGATTCATATTAATTCAGCATGTAAAGCAAAGTGTAAATTAAGGTTAAAATGAGTTTTTTCAAGCCTAAAGTTCTTTTATGCCATAGATTTTTGATCTAATTTTAGGTAATCTCATTAGTTCTTCTGTTGTAGTTTTCTTCTTCACCCCACTTCTCTGTGCCTACTCACAAATGACCATTGGTAACTGTTTGTTCTTCACAGTGGGCTAGTTCAGGTACTTGTCTTTGGGTATCTGGTGTTATTGTCACAACGTATTGCTACAGGAATTTTCATTAGTGTGATTTTTTTTTTTTTTTTAAATAGGGTTCCCCTGAAAGTGGAGCAAGCAAACAATGCTCGTGATGCTCTGGCAAAGACCGTCTATAGCCATCTTTTTGATCATGTGGTAAACAGAGTAAACCAGTGTTTTCCTTTTGAAGCTTCATCCTGTTTTATTGGAGTCTTAGACATTGCTGGTTTTGGTAAGTGTAGTTTCTTTTGTAAGTTTATACTTGAGCTTTTTTAAAGTACATATCAAAAATATTTTAAAAAATCTTTCAATTGTTATAATTTTAGTTTTTTCCTCATACTTGTATTTCATAATATGACTTACATAGTAAGCTGATTATTTTATTTGCTCTTTTATTATCCTATTATTGTTGAACTGGGGGTACATTGTGACACAATGCACAGATGTTACAAAAGTGCTTATAATCCAGTAAGCTGATTCTTTAAAAGAAAAGAAAGACTCCTTTGGGGTAGTTTTGGTCCAACAAATGCTAAAATTAAAATACGCTTATTGAAACTACCATATCCCTATACTGTAGATGAATACAACTCTGAGTGTTACTAATAAAGACAATAGGGCCACTAAATATAAATTAAGATAATAAATTCACTAAGACAACACTATACTAACATGTAGGCTAACCTTATTATTATGTGTAAAATAAATATTCATTGCTAGTGTTGTCAACAAATCACTATTTCAGCTCTTTTTCCATAAATGAATAAGATATCAAGATAAGTCATTGTGAACAACTCTGGAGGTGTTTAGCAGAAATTAAATAGACCACACCTGCACCTGCATACTGCTGTGTTCTGAATAATTGTGTTGTAAAAATCTTGAAGTAAATTCAATGGTTTCATAGATGTTATTGATGTGGGCATTTCTTCTGTCTCTAAGGTGTGGTGTTTTTCCTTGTGGTTTTTTGCCTTTGCCAAGGGAAGATAAGAGCATTTACATTTTGAGATAGAGTTTTGCTTTTGATATGGTGTATATTATCAGATTTTCAATAAATCATATATATTTTCAAATTTTCAATAAATCATTACATTTTGTTCAAAGGCAGATAAACCCACCCTTAACTAATTTAAGATTTCACAATCTTAAGACATTTATTTCCTGGTCTACACCAGTTTTAGCATGATGTGCACATATACAAAGTGATAAAATTATAGAGATTTGTGGGTTAGACATTATGTAATACAATCCTTTAATTTTAGAAATGAATCAGTAACCCTAGTATTTGTGTTAACTGTAATTTTACAGATTAATTAGGAAAAACCTCCTCTAAAGCACTTGGATTATGAGTCATTTTGTGCTTCAGATTGCTTTTAAAAATTACCTTATGGGTGCCAGACATGGAGGCTCACACTTGTAATCCCAGCTACTTGGGAGGAGGAGACTGGGGGGAAATCACTGTTTCAGGCCAGCCTGGGCAGAAAGTTAACAAGACCCCAACTCAAACACTAAACCAGGCATGGTGGCATGTGTCCGTGATCTGATCCCAGATATGGGAGGCTGTAGGTAGGAGGATTGCAGTCTGAGACTGGCCAGGGCAAAAAATGAGAGGCCTTACCTGAAAAATAACTAAAGTAAAAAAAGGGGGGGGGGGCATGGCTCAAGAGGAGGAGCTCCTACTTAGCAGGCGTGAAGTACTGAGTTCAAACCCAGTACTGCCAAAAACCAAATTACATTACAAATAGCTTGCATGCTATTTTATTTTATTTTTTACTGTACAACATCTTATCTGACAAATACCTCTTTGTCAGTTACAGCAAGGTATTTTTTTAGTAGTTAATTTGAGTGCCTTAATTTTTTTTTTCTTTTTTGTGGGGCTAGGGTTTGAACTTAGGGCTTCATGCTTGCAAAGTAGGTGCTCTACCACCTGAGTCACACTTACAGTCCACAAAATTTGTTTTGAAATAAGAACATTGAGGGAACGTAGAAAAATTCTGTGTATTTTAAAGCCTAATTTTAAATTGAGCCATTGAGACAATAACATTTTATCATAAGATAAATTTACATGAAATTGATGATTTCTCTTGGTGCTGGTTTTATGTTTTCAGAGTACTTTGAGCATAACAGTTTTGAACAATTTTGTATCAACTATTGCAATGAAAAACTTCAACAATTTTTTAACGAAAGGATTCTGAAAGAGGTAATTGCCATTATAATTTAAGTTTCAGACCTACATGAAGGTATTTTAAATTTTAAGGAAGAGAAATATACTACCCAGTTAATGGGGAGTACTATGAGTTGGTCAGGGAATGGGAAAGTCCAGCAGTTGTTAGTGGTTTAGCTGAGTTTAGGGACCTGATAAAAGCTCTTAATAGGTGCTGTCTCAGAAGTGAACATCTGTAATTTTTTTATCAGATTCTTCCTCCTCCTCCTCCTTCATTATTATTATTATTATTATTATATATATATATATTTTTTTCTGATTCTAGTTGCCTCTACTCCTACCACCACTAAACAGTTTTCCACTCTCATCCCTGACCTTGACTTCTCCCACCATTCTTCCCAGTGTGTGCTTCTGCTCACCTGCTCCCCTTCTTGCTGTGTGTAGTGGCAAAGCCACCATGCCAGGAGATTCCATGCAGCTATTGGGCTGGAGTGCCTCTGGGTAGCCCTCTCCCTGCCGTGTTACCTTGGGGACAGCCAGCTGGCCCCCGTTTTTGGTCCTACTGGAACTTCCTGTCACTGCTCCTAGTAAATAACTATGGCATGGCTAATACTTAGAATACAGAGGCTGGCACAGTTACTTTGTTATTCTTTAGAGAGCAGTAAAAATAAAGGTAACATTAGATCAATTGATGTGTGATTAGGTTTATTATTTTTTTTCCCTTATGTCTGAATTCTCCAGTATTTTCTCCCAATACCCTTGACTTTCCTTCCTTGGTACCACTTGAGGTATGCTTTACTGATTGAAGATATCAGGGTTAAAGGGACCTGAGAGGTCATATAGTTCAGCCCTTTATTTTACAGATGAAGAGGAAGCCAATTCCCAGAGGATTTTAGTAACTTCTGCAAGCCTGTGCCTCCTTTCCTGGCTGCTGGCACACCCCGGAACTTTCTTTGTATTAGCACTGCTGTTTCTTTTTCTTTTTTCCTTTTCATTTTTCCCTCCCTCCTTCCCTGTCTTTTCTCTTCCCTCCCTCCCTCCCTTCCTTCCTTCGTTCCTTCCTTCCTTCCATCTTAGAAATGCTGTTTTCCTGACTTCTGTCCTCCTCTTTGTTAGGACTGAAATGTACTGTTTCACATTCCATCTGTCTTTTCCCACAACTTTATTATGTTTTGTCTTGATGGGCTTGGCAGCACACCCCAGCTTTTGTACATTTCACTCATGTACTGTTCTTAAGCCATAGAATTGTGGCATAAACAAATGGGTGAAACAAGTAGTTACTGGTAAAATTGCTTCTTTGAAAATGTTTTTATCCAGCTGCTTCAGTTCTTCCATTGCTGTGTGAAATTATACATGCATGCCTTTCATTTACCATACCCTAACCTAGCAAAATGTTAGTTAAAAGCAGGTCCTATATAGAGGAGACACTGTCTTGATTTGTGTCAACAGTCCCTTAGTTTAAATGTGAATTTCAAATTCTGATTGGATTCTAGAATGTCAGAAAGCTTTCCTAGTGTAGCTCATAGGAGGAAATATTTAAACATTCAGGAAAAATTGTTAGGGTACATTAACTTAAGCTCATTGCATAGGTCACCCATCTTATAAAATCCTTTAATTTTTTGAAAAGAATATACTAGACTTACATCTGTGTACTCATTTTTCATTTATAAATTATTCTTCCAAATTGTGTTTCTTCTCCACAAATACATGGTATATGTTATATTGCTGTATTGGTATTTGAGCCCATTTGTAGCTAATTATTATTTCCTCGATTTTAGTACCTGTCTGCAAATCAAAATTTGTTCTTAGGGAAATCATTTAGGACTATCCTAACTGGTAAAACTTTTACATTTTGACTAATGAATGTGATCATTAGAAATGGCACAAAACATTGACTCCATTCTATATTGAAACATATTTGCATACCTACGATTACAGTTATTTCATTTATAGGAACAAGAACTCTATCAGAAAGAAGGTTTGGGTGTTAATGAAGTTCATTACGTGGATAATCAGGATTGTATAGGTAGGTGCTTTTTGTTCCGTATTTGGGAAGTGTGGGAAGATACCGCGAATGCCGTTACTAGCCACTTTCCTGTGCTCTGATTTACGTATAGTACTAGTTATGAAACTGGTCTGGCCACTGGCCCCTAAATACCAACTAAAGAGTCATGGTGAAGGCAGAGAAAGGAGATTTATTACATGTCTCGGGACATGCTGTGGGAACAGGCAAAGTAAGCACTCAGCTCATCTTCAGCGTCTTCAGGGTACAGACATGAGCTATAGGTTTAAGTCGACAAAGAACTGGGGACAGGAGACAAGGTATTAATGCTTACGCAGTCCCAGTCACAGGGGTGTTCCGGTTACCATTATCTCAGTCCGGGAGCAATCTGGTTCCCAGGAGATGACTACTCCTGCTCCAGGGTGTTTACAGCTGTATCATTGTAAGTAATTGTTCTCATTTGGAGGGGTGGTCCCGCAAGGCTCCACTGTTCCTCAGGGGAAGTTTCAGTCTTTTGTTATAAAGATGTTATCCATCAGTTCTGTCCTTCCTTGATTTCAAGGTGGCTGCTGGAGAGAATGGCTCAGAGCAAAGGACAATAGCTACAATATGGAGACAGGTGTTTTTCCTGTTTTTAGTTAATTCATGGGCCCAAGTAAGGAGCCAGTGCTCTTCAGCAAAAACAGGTTAAACACCTCTTATAGTTAAGCAACTTGGAACTGTGGTATTTAAGAGAAGGTTGCTTTTTTAGTACTATTTGGAAGCTGTTTTTGCTTCCAAAGCATTAAATTCAGCTTTGTTCAAAGTGTTCCTAAAATCGCTTCTATTTATTATGATTTGTATGCATTTTCCTACTTAAACGGCTAATGTGTGAATCAGTTAAGGAGAAGAGTCAGTTGCTCAGGCAGCAGATGGCTTTATCATCTCACATGATGAAGTCCATAGTTGGGCAGGCTCCAGGAGAAGTTTGCCAGGGGTTTCCTTGGTTCTATTCACCTCTGTGCATTGGCACAGCAGGTGAACTGCAGGCTGGCCTTAGAAGGTCCACATGTCACATAGACATAATATTGTGCGCGAGGGTCTCAGTTTTCCTTGTCTGTTTTAGACACTTCCTCTTGTAGCCCTCCTACTAACTTTCAGTCTTCCTTTTCCTTCCCATCCTATCTGAAATCAGAGATCGGACTGTTTTGAGAAACCAGTTTGACAATCTAGTCAGTAACTAGATTTGGACAACATAGTGAGATATTAATAGTAATGTTACTGTATTTTAGTACCACTTTCCAGGGAACTTTCACATCCTACCTGATACACAGCGTTCTTTAACCCACCATGTCCTTCCTTACCTCAGTGCTTTTGTGTGATTCGAAGTCTGGCTGGAATGCCTTCCCTTCTGTTTACTTTTCATCCCACCCACACCTCCTTCTACATCTGTCACAGGACTCCTCATTTACAGCTTAGGTTACCACGCTCTTCCTTCACTACCACTAGTTACTCAAGAAGCATCGTTTTCTGATTGGTGCAGTTAGAATTTTGATTTCTCTTTCTGTGTCCTGGAGCTCTGCCCCACTCAACAGTTTTTATATACCACATTTAAGGAATTTAAATTTTATAGTTATTTTGGAAAGGCAGAAAATTCAGTCACCAGGAAGGAGCATAAAAATGTGCTGTTGCTGGATACATTTTGTTTTAAAGTATTAAAATCAGTCTCTGAAATTAGTACTAAAGAGCGCCACATACGAAGTCTTTGTCGTTTTTCTTCACTTGCAGTATCAAGGTCATCTGGAAAACGGGGAATCTTTGCTTCCTTGGCTTCTTATTCTGGTTTACAAATGGAGTGATTAGTAATCACTTTCTTTATGGAGTTGTTTTTCTAAAACCTGTATTAAAACTATGATCTTACCTTCTAGCAAGTGGCCAGATTTGAAATAAAAGTTCATCTTGCTCTCAGTGGCCTTTGATAAAATACTTTAAGAATCATCTGTTACACTGTTCTAACCAGTCTTTGAAATTTTGTGATCAGTAACTTGCTGACGTTATCTTTAAAGTGTTATTTTTACCCTATCATGATTTTGATTTTTGAAATAGATTTAATTGAGGTGAAACTAGTGGGAATTCTGGATATTTTGGACGAAGAGAATCGCCTCCCTCAGCCAAGTGACCAGCACTTCACATCTGCGGTCCACCAGAAGCACAAGGACCACTTCCGACTCACAGTGAGCTCACCTTGCTAAACTCGATGCTGTTGGGAGATCTTTAAACAGATGCACTAGCAGTCAGATAGTGTTAGACAATTGGAATGAGAAGTTACATAAGGTGTACGGCATATAATACACATATGTATGTATATGTTTAGTTGACGATAAAGCTGGATGTAATCAAGACTCTTTTCTCTGGGTGGAAAGTACATTTCACCTATCTAAAGTGTACAAAGAGATTGCCTACTGGTTTCATGTTCTTCCTTCTGAACTAAGTGGCCATCAGTGGGTATGCTTTGCATCATGTGCCCTTGATCTCCTTCTAAGGTTTGACATCTGGAATCCCATTTGCTAGTCCATTAATAAACAGCAAAATCACAATGTATGCATGCATCAAACAGTTACTTGGTGCCCCGTTAATATGTAAAAAAGGAAAAATTTAAAAATGATTTAAAAAACCTTTGACAAAAAAAAAATCAATGGTAAGTAGGTTAAATGAATTTACTTGAAAAAGTGATGCAATTGTGTTAACCTTCTTTAGGGTCTGGAGTCTCACAACTTCTGTTCCATTGACTTGCAGTTCTGCGTCCTAAATATTTCTAGTAGTTTGGAGCCTATTACACTATTACTTCAGTGGAGCTAGAACAAAACGATATGTATTTTCAACAAAACCTTTGCTTAAATTTAAAACATGTATCCAGTCCTATTTTTTCACAGCTTTCTGATTTTTGTTATGAGCACTGATCTCATGGCAACAGAATTGTGACCAGGATCAGGCATGTAACTTAAACTGAAGCATCATGAATGAGGTCTGGCTGCTTTTCTCAAAAGAGGACAAGAGCTAGGCAGTAAATTCTCTTCATAGAGGCTGCCACTTTTATTGTATTTCTTTGGAAAATATAATCACCTTTTATGCAACACTTAGCATAGGCACTTTTAGAATGCTTTTACTTGAATTATATCATTAAATCCTATTAGTGTCCTTAAGCTAAAGATAAGGAGACAAACAAGGAGAAGGTAGGTGACGGGCAGGTATGGCATATGAGGAAGCAGTGGCATGGAAGCAGGCAAAGCAGTTTGGCTGCAGAGTTGTTCTGACTCGTTCTACTTTGCGAGGACAAGAGGCTCTTATTTTAAGAGCTCTCTGGCCTTGAGCAAGACACTAAGAGATCCACTCTTAAGTGTTCTCATTTTTAAATGAGGTTACTTTTCTTTAGGTTATTTTGAGGGTCAGATGTGATTACATATGTGCAACTATTTCAGAAACTTAAATCCAAACATGAGATACTATAATTAAATGGTACATGCTTAAAATGATGTTTCCTTGCAATGGATTCAGGCTCAATTGTGTAAAAATGTTTGGATGGTTGGTTTGAAACAGTGGGGAGTTCCTGTGCTGATTTCAGGTGTTTCTTTACCTGGCTGCAAATGGGACTCTCCTGATGCAAATGCTACCAGCTTTCAGAGGTTTGGAAGATGTCTGGGTGATTCTGATAAGTACTAAGATTGACAACCACTGCTTTAGATAACTTTATAAAATGCTAACTGTGTTTTTGCATTTGCTTCTGAATTGTGTATGTGTATTTCCTTAACACCTATTTTTTTTCCGTAAGAGATTGTAACCCAATTTTTTGTTAGATTTCACTGGTTCTTCAAGGCACAGTAGATATTTAAAAGTACTATAATTGTGAAAAATATATAATCCCCTTATAATTTTAAGTTTTTTTTTTACTTGTCTGATTTTGTCTAAAGAAAATTATCTACTGTATTCTTGATGACTTAGTAACTTGTGTGTGCACTGTTTTCCAGATTCCCAGGAAGTCTAAGCTGGCCGTTCACAGAAATCTCAGAGATGATGAAGGCTTTATTATCAGGCATTTTGCAGGAGCAGTGTGCTACGAAACAGTGAGTCTGGCACTTATAAGCAGAGATCTACTTGATACTGAAGTTGCACTGTGCAATATGGTGGTCTCTAGCTATTTAAACTTAAATGAAATAAAATTCAGAAAATTCTGTTCCTCAGTATACTAGCTGCATTTGACATACTAAATTTCCAACTGGCTAGTGGCGACTGTATTGGAGAATGCTGAGGTAAAACATTTCTCTTGTCACAGAAGTTCTGTTGGACAGACCTGACCTAAGGGATATTTTTCACAAGAAGTACTGAAACTTACTTGATTTATTTTTCAGACCCAGTTTGTGGAGAAAAATAATGATGCATTACATATGTCTCTTGAATCCTTAATATGTGAATCCAGGGATAAGTTTATACGGGAATTATTTGAATCGTCTACAAATAACAACAAAGACACCAAACAAAAAGCAGGAAAACTTAGCTTCATCAGTGTGGGAAACAAGTTTAAGGTATTTGTGTTAAATACATTGAATTTTTTTACTGTGTTTAAAATTAAAATGCATTGGTTTGTATTCTAAAGTGGATAATGTAGGCGACAGTCAGAAGTCCCACGGTGAGCAGACCCTGCACTGGGTGTGCTTGTGTGTAGGACATCACAGTGTAGCCCTGCTAGTAACCAGCCCTACCTAGTAACTGAGCATACAGACGCGAATGTGTCCATCCTCAGCTTACCGCCTACCTGATCGCTTCTCCTAAGGTTCTTGCTTCTGCATTCTGTCTGCTTAACCTTCCAACCTTCTCTTTCCCATGTGTTTTCTGTTTCCTTCCTCATCCAGCAGTTTTGTTTTAGCTGGAGTAGTGCAGCTCGGGATGGCTAGAGAGGACTAGTTGAGTTGAAAAGCAGGCACAGCAGGGGCTTCAGGTAAAATGACTTTCATGGACTCCTGTTTGTCGAGTGGTTGCTGCTTGTTAAGAGCCGGCTCAAGTTAGCGATGCAGTTCGCGATTCATTTGCGATGTGTTCTCTCTCACACTGGTGTTATACGCATGCATATTACCCTGCACATTGATGAAAGCCTTCATAATGTCTATAAAAAATAAGTGCTCAGGTGTGGCCAACTTTAAATTGCTGATTAAACGTTAAAGAATGTTAGTTGTGTTATTAATTTCAGATCAGGAATTTAGTCTTTGAAATCTGACATGGAGTTGTCATAAGATGTGCCTTAGAAATGGAACGCTATCAGTTAATGTTATAATTATTTAGTATTTAATACAGAAGAAATAATTTAAAAAATTTAATGAACAAAAGCTGTAAGACATAGAACAAAGAAATAGAATTAATTTTTCTGCATTTCCATATAAATTATTATAATTATTATTACAACAAATGTCCTTATTTGCTTTATAAAACTTCTACTTTAGATATTAAAAATGATGTAATCAGGGTTGGTGGAGTGGCTCAAGTGGTAGAGTGCCTGCCTAGCAAGTGCGAGGCCCTGAGTTCAAACCCTGGTACCATCCCCCCACCCCCCCAAAAGAAAAGATGTAGTTAGGAACATATTTAAGCATCAGAATACTATGATATAACTAGCAGCATAAACCTTCTCAAATCTCTTTGAACTGAAATGGGCCCTAAGTATCTAACTTAAAATTGTATTTTTAAAAACTAGTTTTTTAACCAGTTTAAGCATAAATATAAGAGAAAGCTCATAATACATTATAAGTAATCAAATACAAAGCTTTGAATTTTGTTTTAAGTTATATTAATGAATTATGAGTTCCTAAGATGCTCAAGCAATATTTTCATTTGAGCATTTTCCATTCTTGATTAGACATTTGATAGGAGATTGCTTTAAAAGCAGCACTTTAGCTGGATGTGGTACGTGCACCTGTAGTTCCACATACTTGGGACACTGAGGCAAGGAAGATTACTTGAGTAGGAGTTCAGGGCCAGTCCTGGGCAATGTAACAAGATTCTGTGTCAAAACAGATAAATAGATATTATTTATTAAGTATTTCCCTACTGCAGTATTATAGTAGAATGATGGGTAAGAACATACTTAAAATTTTAGGTGATACCAACTAACAAAAAAACAATCTTAAAATTCCTCTTTGGTTTACATAATCTTTTATGTTGAGTCTTGAAATGCCTTGTAATTGTATATGTAATATATTGTATTTCTCATGTTAATTGCTGAAAGCTGTAACAGTGATATTAATAGCAGTGCATCGCAAACACTATTAAAATACCTTACTATTTTCATAATGAAATTTTGCTGAGATACGTTGATATGAAATGCTAATAGTGATTTTAAATATAGCTAGATAGCTCATTAAATGAAGTTTGAGGCATGTAAGGCAATACCCACAAAATAGGTTGCAATTTACATAATACTTAGCCATCAACATTGTGGGAACCAGAAGTTTTCCACCAAAATGAAAATTTCAGGTTATTAAAACATAATCACCCTTTTACTTTCAATCCTGTTTTAGAAAAAGTAATTCTTTTTGATGGAAATTTTTCACTATTATAAACATGAATATGTATGTTTTAAAAATAAAACACAGAGCATGAGTTGCCAGAGGCTGTCTGCCTTTCTGCTGTATGGTCCTTGACTTCTATTTGCTGATTATTGGCTTGCTTTTTTCTTTTTCTACTGTTGCTAGTTTTCTTCTGTGGCTTCTGTTCTTGTGAATTCACTGTCCATTTTGAGGAGCACACAAGCAGAGTCTATGGATTAAAGAGCATGGACCTTGTGACACAATGTTTTTTTTTTTTTTTTTCCTCCAAATTAGCAGCTCTTATGCTTGCTTTTAAGTTGGGCTCCAGATAAATGAAGGTTGTCAGAATTCTGTCAACCAGATAAGTGGGGTCTGACTATGAATTCATTTTAATAACAAATAATATGCAAGGCATACAGAGACATCACACATAGGAGATGAAATACATGTCAGGCCTACGTTGGAATCACGGCTTTGCCATTACTAGTTCTGTGGCCTCAGACATACGGTTTATCTCCCCGGACCTCAGTGCTGCCCCTGTATTAATGAGGCCAGTAGTATATTCTTAATTAAGTTTATTGCATTTTATCCTTAATTGGATCAAGCATAATGATGCTCTTGAAAACTTTGAACAGTGCCTTACTGCTGAAAGTAAAGCATTCAATAAAGTATACGTGTTGTTAATTATAGCTGTGATGAATGTAATATGCTAATTTGAGAATTAACATCTTAGCCAGACGTGGTATTGCACAGTTGTAATCCTAGCTACTTGGGAGGCAGAGATCAGGAGAACTGAAGTTCAGAGCCAGACCTAGCAAAAAGTAAGTGAGCGAGACCCCATCTCTTCAAAACAAACCCAGTCTAGTGGCACTTTAGTGTCTGTAATCCCAGCTGTAATCTCAGAATGATAGGTAGGGGGATTGCACTCTGAGGCTGGCCCCAGGCAAAAACATGAGATGCTATCTGCAAAAAAAACTAGAACTAAAAAAGAGCTAGAGGTCTGGGGAGAGCACTTGCCCAACATGCAAGGGACCCCGAATTCCAACTCCAGTACTGCCAACAACAACACAAAAATGTAAGAACTAGCATCTTGATTTGACTTTTCAAAGTAGTATAATAAGCATCTCAACATAAAATCCAGATAAAGAATTTTACATAATTCATTTACTTTGCAGAGTAGTGAAGCAAATAAGTGATTTTAATGTACTGAACCAGGATAAGTTATAATTAGTATTATAAAAATAGGATAAGTATAGTAACATACTATTCACTGTTAGTTTTTTTAGAAAATTGTATAAATTAAAAAAAAAAAAACAGTTGAAATGCAAAATCTTTAAAATAGTGAAGAGAATTTCCGAGCTGGAGAGTTTTGTTTATGCTAAGTATTACACAGAACAGTGCCAATGGATAACGAGAGACATATTTTAAATGTCTTCAAACTTAACAGCTCGTGACACAACTGCGCGCAGTTTGCATGTACTCAAATACTAGCCGTGCCACCGATGTCCCATTGCGCATGAGTGTGCCTTCACCGCCCATGTGCTCGCTCCTTACTTATTAGTTTTACTGCTTTTCATTCCTTTAATTATACAAGTTCTGTGTAAGTAAATAAGTTATTGTCCTTGACATTTCATTAGCCATTTTGCATGATGCCGTCTGTTACAGGGCTTGCTGCCAGGGTTGCTGCACTGTAGTGTGTTGTGTGTGAATGTCACCCAGTGTTACTTTATTTTAATATTGTTACATTGTCATGTGTTGTGTGTGAATGTTACCCATGTTATTTTATTCTAATATTGGAGAGTTAATGCTAACTTGTGCCACTGTGTACTTTCACTTCCCGAAATAAGCGGATTTCTTTTTCTTTTTCTTTTTTTTTAACAGACACAGTTAAATTTGCTTCTGGATAAACTTCGAAGTACCGTGAGTATACTTAAAAAGAAAACAGGTTTTTTTTTTTTTTGGTAATGGTCCTCTAACACAATTATTAGTAATTACTCAAGTAAGCACAATAACCTTGGAATAATTAGAAGTATATTTTAAACCAAATTCCCTTCATTAAAAAGACATTAGTTGACAGACACAGTGGCTCTTGCTTGCTGTTCAGGATGTGAATATTGAGAAGAATGCGGTTCAAGGCCAGACTGGGCAAAAAGTTAGTGAGACCTCATCTCAATAAATCAGCTGGATGTGGCACATCATGTCTGTAGTCCCAGCTATGTGGGAGGCCATAGGTAGGAGGATTGTGGTCTGAGACTGGCCCCAGGCCAACATATAATATCCTACCTCTAAAATAACCTAAAAAAACAAAAAGGGATGGGGGCAGGGCTGAAGTGGTAAAGTGTCTTCAGCTCACATCCAGTTACCACCAAAAAAACGTTTTTTAAAGGGCCAGGCATGCATGGCGACTCACATCTACAGTCCCAGATATGCAGGGGGTGTATGTAGGTCGGAGGGCAGAAGGATCATGGCTTGAGATCAGCCTAGACAAAAGGTTAACGAAACCCTGTCTCAACAAATAAGTTGGGTGTGGCAGGATATATTATAATCCCAGCTAGTGGGAGGCACAGGAAGGAAGATCAAAGTCTGAAGCCCACCTGGGCAAAAACTCAAGGCACTATATGAAAATAACTAAAGCAAAAAGAGGACTGGGGTTTGGGTCAAGTGGTAGAGCACCTTCCTAACAGGAATGAGGCCCTGAGTTCAATGCCAAAACAAAAAGAAATTAGTTTTCAAAATGGCTGTTATTTTGTCTAAGTTTGTTCTAAAGAAAGGTTGAATGTATATGTGAAGTTAAATTATTTTATAAATATATGGACTCTTTGAAATGATCAAGATTATCCTGTATGTTCACAAAGGTGAAAATAATTAGTAATTATGGAAAAAGAATTTTTTAGTTAGGATTAAAGGCGTGTAATTTAACTTGATGTTATTATACTTACAGTTATGTTCTCCAGAAATGGCAGTGCTGATCTGACAAAATGGCATCTTAGTTGTATGTACTTTTATAAAGGCCAAGTTCATCTGAAGCCTGGTTACAACTTGCTTTTTAGTAATTCTCCCTGATCTTCTTCTCAGGACCAGGTGCTGCACACTGAGCTGTGTCCCCAGCCTTGTTTTTTAGAAATAGAAAGAATCAACCTACATAGTTCAAGTTTCAAATTATGAAAATATCCTAGTAAAGTCTTAAGCTCCTTCATGATTATGTTGCATTTCATGAGCTGCTGTTAATATGGGTTGAAGGTTGGTGATAGTCACAGAAATAGAAAAATGGGAATGTTGTATGTATCGTCTCAGCAAGCACCTTTGTTCTCCTAGGGAGCCAGCTTTATTCGCTGCATCAAACCTAATTTAAAGATGACAAGCCACCACTTTGAGGGTGCTCAGATTCTGTCTCAGCTTCAGTGTTCAGGTATTTCCATATTTTTATAATCTGAGTGCCTGTGTGACTCATTTGTTCCTTCCCTCCCGGCGACCCTCCCTCTCTCTCTCTCTCTCTCTCTGGTTGAACCCAGGGCTTCGTGCATGCTGGGCTGCTACTCTGCCACTTGAGCCACACTCCAGTCCTTCAGTATAATTTAGTAGGACCAATGTTTTGAAATAATTTGCCATTACCTTGATTATTTTTAAATGCAATAAGACTTTATGTTTCCCTTAATCATAAGAAAAGCATGAGGTATAATTTATTATGAAATAAAACTATTTTACATCCTTGAAGTAAGATTGATAACACTTTTAAATAGCAAAGCTGAATCCCCTGTAGGTTGGCTGCTTTCCTGTGGTCTCAGACCAGCCATGATTTATTTCTGGTTCCCCATATGACTGGGTTGGGAGGGAGTTTTGGTGTCCTTGCTTCTCCTCCACCCCATGTGAAAACATAGAAACATGGTGAGACCACTGACTTCTGTGGTACTGATGTGCATTTGATTAATCCCTTCCCCCAGCCTGGTGTCTGCCCTTGCTCAGTCACAGAGCCTCAGGTAGCAGGCTCTGTGTTCTTTCCCCCTGCCTGCCTGTCCTCCATCCCAGCCACAGCCTTCTTCCCTCTCTGTGTGCCTCTCCATCGGCTCGGGCCCCTGACGCTTTCCCAAGCTCTCTTGCTTTTCCGGTTTCTTGGTTTTCTCCTCTGAGAGGCTGGCTTGCTGTGAAGCTCAGGTCTCCTAGGCTTTACAGCCTTTCTTTCCTTTAACCCCTTTTCAATGCCCTGAGCTTAATTTCGTGTTCTTCTTATCATCTGTAATTTTGTATTATTCACTTAAAGAGCCTTCACCAATTCTAGAAGCTTCAGGTTCCCCAAACCTGAATCTACCCCTGACTCCTTACAAAACCCAAGCTACTGATGAGTCTAATTCTGCCTTTTTTTTCCTTGTCCGCACAGGGTTGGTAGGATGACACCGAGTCTTACCATGTAAATTCATGGTCACTGACCCTTCGAGGACTCTTTGAACTTGCCCTGCCAGATTTCTCTGGTCAGCACGCTCTGTTTCTCCAGAGAACCAGACACTCACCCTGCTCTCCTCAGACCCCCGAGTCTTTGTCAGTAGATGGCCTCCACTCTGTACTAAGAAGCTAAGCTTCACCTGACTGCCACTAGGCACTTTTCCCGCTCTGGACTGGGGCTGTCGCTCAAGTGGTAGAGCCTAGCAAGCGTGGGGCTTGGATTCCAAGCCAAGGGCCACAGAACAAAAAGAAGTCAGCAGGAACAGGTCTTCAGTACTGGTCTTGTGCACCCATCTTCTGAGATGGATCTCATGCTAAAATCTTACCTCTGATCCATTCTCCCCTGCAGACGCTCTGTCTTTCTCCTCAAGGTTTTCCCAGTTTCCTTTTCCCTCCACCAACAGTCTACTGATTGATAGCTCAGTCTGATGTCTTCCTCTCACTCTAATCCCAGGAGGATCAGCTCTGTCTTGATAAGGATTCTAGCGATTGACTTATTCCTAAACCAGAGATGTTCATGTTGCAGTCCTTGTCGTGAGAGTTTTCAGGTTTAGGTGTGCCTGTTTTTGGACTCATTTTATGTCAACAATATCCGGTAGAACTTTCCAAGATTGGAATATTGTGTATCTGTGTTATCCAATAAGGTAGCCACTAGATAGACATGTTTGGTTATTAAGCATGTGAAATGTGACCTGTAGGACTTAGTTAAAATTTAGCTAAACTTTATTTTATTTATTTATTTTTTTGTGATGTAATTTGTATTTATTTTTATTTTTTAATTTTTTTATTATTCATATGTGCATACAATGCTTGGGTCATTTCTCCCCCTGCCCCTACCCCCTCCCTTACCACCCACCCCGTCCCCTCCGTCTCCCCCTACCCCCTCGATACCTGACAGAAACTATTTTGCCCTTATCTCTAATTTTGTTGTAGAGAGAGTATAAGCAATAATAGGAAGGAACAAGTGTTCCTGGTTGAGATAAGGATAGCTATACAGGGCATTGACTCGCATTGATTTCCTGTGCGTGTGTGTTACCTTCGAGGTTAATTCTTTTTGATCTAACCTTTTCTCTAGTTCCTGGTCCCCTTTTCCTATTGGCCTCAGTTGCTTTTAAGGTATCTGCTTTAGTTTCTCTGCATTAAGGGCAACAAATGCTAGCTAATTTTTTAGGTGTCTTACCTATCCTCACACCTCCCTTGTGTGCTCTCGCTTTTATCATGTGCTCATAGTCCAATCCTCTTGTTGTGTTTGCCCTTGATCTAATGTCCACATATGAGGGAGAACATACGATTTTTGGTCTTTTGGGCCAGGCTAACTTCACTCAGAATGATGTTCTCCAATTCCATCCATTTACCAGCGAATGATAACATTTCGTTCTTCATGGCTGCATAAAATTCCATTGTGTATAGATAACCACATTTTCTTAATCCATTCATTGATAGTGGGACATCTTGGCTGTTTCCATAACTTGGCTATTGTGAGTAGCACTGCAATAAACATGGGTGTGCAGGTGCCTCTGTCTGTGTCACAGTCTTTTGGGTATATCCCCAAGAGTGGTATTGCTGGGTCAAATGGTAGATCAATGTTTATCGTTTTAAGTAGCCTCCAAATTTTTTTCCAGAGTGGTTGTACTAGTTTACATTCCCACCAACAGTGTAAGAGGGTTCCTTTTTCCCCGCATCCTCGCCAACATCTGTTGGTGGTGGTGTTGCTGATGATGGCTATTCTAACAGGGGTGAGGTGGAATCTTAGTGTGGTTTTAATTTGCATTTCCTTTATTGCTAGAGATGGTGAGCGTTTTTTCGTGTGCTTTTTGGCCATTTGAATTTCTTCTTTTGAGAAAGTTCTGTTAGTTCACTTGCCCATTTCTTTATTGGTTCATTAGTTTTGGGAGAATTTAGTTTTTTAAGTTCCCTGTATATTCTGGTTATCAGTCCTTTGTCTGATGTGTAGCTGGCAAATATTTTCTCCCACTCTGTGGGTGTTCTCTTCAGTTTAGAGATCATTTCTTTAGCTAAACTTTAAATATTATTTAATTTTAATATGTTAAAATTTAAGCATATGTGTCTAGTGAAGCTAAGAGCCTGTGGCTAGTGGCTGCTGTAATGGGCAGCACAAGATTTATTCTTTTTTTTTTTTTTTTTTCCTTTTATTATTCATATGTGCATACAAGGCTTGGGTCATTTCTCCCCCCTGCCCCCACGCCCTCCCTTACCACAAGATTTATTCTTTATTTAAGTCTTCCAAGTCCTATTGCTATGATTTCCTAAACAGTGAGTCCTACTCCTTCCTGACTCAAGTGGTCACTTCCTCTCTCTCAGTTTTTTGCTATAGCTTCGTAAGTATCCTCCTTGCATGTGCTTAGTGTGTTCTTCACGTGTGTCACAGCTCAGTTCTGACCATGTCTTTTTACTGCTCTGATGGCTCCTAATTAGTACTGAGGTAAAAAGCAAAATCTTGGTAGGATGTGGAGCCCCGTACAGACTGTGTGTCCCTTGCTTTCTTTCCTCTCTCTTCTCTCTGCTCCAGCCACACTGACTTTCCTTTCAGTTCCTTTCTTGATATTTCTGTCTTTGAAGGAAGACTTAATGATGCTGAGTTCTGGTGCCTTTACTTCACAATCATAGCTATAAATTTTATGTACATTTGTATAATTATTTAAAATTTTCTTCCTCTGTAAACTCTATGAGTGTAGGAACTGTATCTGTTTTGATTTATTCAAAATTATCTTGCTTCTCTGATATGTACTAGACTCTTTTATTGTTGGAAGAAATGTACGTTGTAGCAGACATGAGGATTCCTTTGTGATTGATTTTAACAAACACTGGAAAATCAAGTAGTTTATGCCTGCTGTAGTACTGCAGATGAGATGTATTTTTATAAATTGTCTTTATGGTGTTGTTACTTTGAGCTTGATTTTTTTTTCTTATTTAAATTCCTCTTTAGGATTTGCTTATTACAACATAACCAATTCATTTCCTAAGTAAGCATCCCCTCTCCTTGGCACATCAAGTATGTTTAGCTATAGCTATGTATGATATTACATTAGCAGAGTATGGGCTTATTGGTGTTTTAGTGAGGATTCCTCTTTTTGTAAGCACTATATTTTAACATGTTGAGAAAAGTTTGTACTTTAATAGATCTGGGTAATGAGAAAAAAGCAAAAATAATTATTAGAAAAATATTTGTGAATTTTTCTTAAGTAAGATATCTAATATAAGACAGTCTGTTTTGCATTTCTGTTTGTATTTTTTTTTTTCCATTTTGAGGAAAACTAATTTAAGATGCCTGCTGCTAAACCTACTGGTCTGACTAGCCACCACCAGGATGAAGTAGGGGAAAAGGAGAAAAAGGCAGCCTTGAGGCTGTGCTTCTTGTGTAGCAAAGAGGGGACTTGAGTATAATTAGCAAATGTAGCACCATGTAGGTTCTTACCAGACTGTCATCGTAAGAACCAGGCCATGAGAGTTTCTAGAAAGAATAATACTTGGCTTTGTGATTTTTTGGTGGACAGTATTGAGGTTTGAACTCAGGTCTTCATGCTTGCAAGGCGAGTGTTCTGCCACCTGAGCCACACCTCCAGCCCTTTTTCTCTGGTTTTTTGGAGATAGAGTTTCACTTTTGCCCAGGCTGGCCTGGACCACAATCTTCTCATTTTACTTCTCTCACCATAGCTGGGATGACAGATATGTACCACCGTGCCTACCTTTTTTTCCATTAAGATGGGGTCTCATTAACTTTGCCTAGGCTGGCCTGGAACTATGATCCTCGTAATCTCAGCTTCCCATGTAGCTTGGGATGACGGGTACATGGCACCATGCCCAGCTATTGGTTGAGATGGTGGTCTCATGAACTTTTTTGCCCAGGCTGGCCTCAAACTGTGATCCTCCTGATCTGATCCTCTTAAGTAGCTAAGATTTAAGTGTGAGCCACTAGCAGCCAGTTTTCTTGGCTTAGTGACTTTGAGGCTTCAAAAGCTCTTAAGAATAAGTGAGTGTCAAGTCCTGTGAAGTCCGTTGTAGGCTTGGTAATTTGTTACACTCCGTGAAGCTCTTAATGAACTTCTGTAAGCCAGGTCGTAGTTTGTGGGGAAAGCCAAGCAACTTGGCGGTAGTGAATGAATTTCCAAGATACTTGATGTAAAAAGGCAAAAATTATGATGTCAACCAAACCTTACTTTTATTTCTCCAAGTAAAGCCTAGAACTAAATCTTGTTCTGCTGGTTGTTTTCTCATGAGAATGATGGTCTTGCTGGCCATGGTGGGACATGCTTGTAATCCCAGCACTTGAAGGCAGAAGCAGGAGGATCACAAGTTCAAGACCAGCCTGTGCTATATAGCAAGACTCTGTCCCAAAAACCCAAGGGCTAGGCATGTATCTCAGTGGTAGAGCACTTCCAAAGTATATGCAAGGCCCCGGGTTCAATCCCAAGCACTAGAAAAAAAATATTTTTTTGTTTCATTAATTAGCATACACTTTATATATGTCTCGGATATATATATATATATATTTATATATTTTTTTATTTATATATATTTTTATAAAAATATATAAATATATAATATTTTTATATATTTTTATGTTGGTTAGATAAAGCTGTGCTCTATTTTTTAAAATTCATGTATGTTACTCTCATATGGTTGTAATGTAATTTAATCATGGATACTTTAGTTTTATGTTTTTCTGTTGTAAACAGTGATCCAGTGTTTACACTCTCCACACATATCTTTGTTTACAAGCATGAAAAATTATAGGTTAGATTCATAGAAATAGAAATTACTGAAGCTGTAATCCCAGCTACTCAGGAGGTGAAGATGGGAGGATTGTGGTTTGAGGCCAATCCAGGCTAAAAGTTATCAAGACCCTATTTCAAAACCAAACTGGAATGAGACACCAATGGCTTATGCCTATAATCGTAGCTACTTGGGAGGCTGAGATCAGGAGGATTGTGGTTTGAGGCCAGCCTGAGCAAAAAGTTCATGAAACCCTATCTCAGTGGAAACAAGCTGGGTGTGATGGTAAGCACTTGATGTCCGCGTAGAGCAGGAAGCTTAAGGAAGGAAGAGCAAGGTTGGCCTGGGCAAAACCCTATCTCTAAAATAACCACAGCAAAACAAGGAAGGTTGTGGCTCAAGTGATAAGTGCCTAACCAGCACGTATGAAATGCTGAGTTCAACCCCCAGACCTACCGGCAAAACCAAACCAAACAACAACAATAAAAACAATGAGCAGGGCTTGGTGGTGCACACCTGTGCTCCCAACTGCTCAGGAAGTAGGATTGCGGTCAGAGGTAGGCAGGGCAAAATTGTGAGACCCTATCTGTAAGACAAACTAAAAAAGTAAAAGGACTGAGGGTGTGTATAAATCCTTCAGTTCAATCCCCAGCACCACCAAAAACCACAAACAAACAAAAACAAAAACTCAACAAAAGAAAAGGGGTAACTATTTCTACATTGCCATCCACATTTGTTGCACTAGTTTACTCCCTCACCAAGAGTGTGTGTGTGTGTTTTCCTGTGCTGTTGTTAACTGAGTACTTTGAGCTTTTATATTTTTACCAGTGTGATAGGTTAATATTCAGTCTGACTGCCTAGAAAGGCTGTCTTTCCTATAAGATTATTTTAAAATAAAAATTCACTCAATTAAAAAATTGTTATAGCTCCATTTTTAATTTAAATTTTTGACCAGTTTATTTTGATGTAAGGAAAGAGATGAGTGTATGTTATTTTTCTTATTTTTGTTTTCCACATGTTAGTAACTATTTCCACCCTTAACTTCTTTAATGTTGATTTATTAGTTAGCAGCCTCAAAATTTTAAGCACAATTGTTGTACTTAAATAGTCAGTCTTACAAGTTGCATTGAAAAAAATGACTAGCCATCTGTGATAACAGTTCTCATTGAATAACTTGTTTTCCCTGTTGGTTTGAGTCGTTCCAGTGACTAAAATCCAGGTGTTGCTGTGAACAAAGGTTTTGGCATTGTCTTTACCTGTTTTTCCAGTCTCAACCTATTGTACTCCTCTCCTGACCTGAAAAGCTCACATTGATTGAGGCTCAGAAAAACCACTTTTTACAATTACACTGATAATGCATGTTTATCCTTAGGTTCAGCTTCCCAGTAGATTAGCTTCTTTCAGAGGGGAGTGGCAGGGGCTGTTTATAGTGAAATAGTGACCTGTTATTTCTCTTCCTTTTGCTTTGTCTAAGTGAGCTATTATTTCTCTTGCTTTGTTTAAGTGCTTAGGAAAAGTTGGGAATGTTTTTGACTACTTTTTGGAGACTCTATCAGGAATCTTATTTTAAAATTAACCTCAGGACTTAGAAAGTGACCAAGTGCATGTATTTGCTTTATATACTCTTAATATTAATGTAGATTAAAAGAAGATACAAAGTAGACTCGAGTTTTCTAGAGACCACTGGTTTGCCTCTAAGAAATGGTTAGTCATGATAGCTTTAGATAGAATTTCATTGTAGTAGTTTTAGGTGATAGATCAGTTGAGATATTTTGGCTAGAAGTACATTTCCTTTGTAATATTTCATTGCTGAGAGTCCCTACAAATTTTTCTTTCCTAAACATGAATTTGTAAAATTATAAAATCACAAGTGGTTCTGGACTTCTGTGCAGTGATTGGCAATGATTTGTGTCTATGAATCCAGGCATGGTATCTGTTCTGGACTTGATGCAGGGTGGTTTCCCATCACGAGCTTCATTCCATGAACTCTACAACATGTACAAAAAGTACATGCCGGATAAACTTGCAAGATTGGATCCAAGGCTATTTTGTAAGGTACAAGTGCCACTTAAAATTTCTTGGCAATAAAGTCTTTCCTATTAATTACTAGTTGGAATTTAACTTTTAAACTTTTCTTTTACAGGCACTTTTTAAGGCTTTGGGCTTAAATGAAATTGACTACAAGTTTGGGTTAACCAAAGTGTTTTTTAGACCTGGCAAGGTAAATATATTTTTATTTGAAACTTTCACATTGTGAAGGTCCTAGTTGGAGTGTAGATAGCTTTAAGTAATTAGTATTATTAAGTAATAATAGTTTGTGTTATTTTTTAATTACATGGTTCTGACAACATGAAATATATATCTGTATACACACATTCATGATTTTCCTATTTTGACAAGCTTATAATGTATAATTCTCTAAATAAATTTTATAGTTTTATTCAGTATTGGAATCAGCACTGCTTAATCGACTTTTTTTCTTTAAGGGTTAACCAGAAAATACTAACATTTTAAACAAGTTGAAAGTTTAAAAAAAATATATTAATTTAGTCTTCAATGGACTTTGAAGTCTTCACTGTGAGATAAAATTCTAGAGTTGGGAAGATGTATAAGATACAAGAAATTGAATTTGGACTGGAGTTCATACTCCTGCCAAAACTAGAATGAATGAGTGTATAAATGCTTTTGTGTGGAACATGTTTATTTTTAGGCTAATACATACATAGTCCTGTAGTTTTAATACTCAAAGGTTGTAGAATACTTTTTAACTAAATGTATTCAGTGTAGAAATATGTAAATGTGGTTCACATGTTAGTGATTATATTTTTACTACTCCTAAATTCTTTAATATTGATGTAATAATTGCATCCTCATAATTATAAACACATATTGTTGTTATATTTAAATAACCAATCACAGTAGTTGGATTAAGCAAAATCATTAAGAAATATATTTAGTATCTTCAGGATAAGTTAATCATAATAAGTCTGATTTCACATTTTTGAGCATTAGATGAAATGTATGTATACATTACCAGTGAACGTACTGCCTGTAAATATTTTTATCACAGAAGACCCATACCATTTCCTATAAAAATTAAGAGAAAAAAATGTTCACAGTTGCCTTAGCTTTATTCATATATATTTATCATAATCTCAACATTTCTCTTGTTTGAGAACTATACTAATTATTTAAAAATTAATAGCCAGATAGAGAAAGGACTTGATCTTATTTACCTCTAGAAAAATTAGTAGGTTTTGTTGAAAGCCTAAGGCAAATTGACTCAAAAATCTACAACTTCATTATATTACCTTTAATTTAATTTTTATTATAAAAACATTTTATATTGATTGGTATGTGACATCCTAAATATTGTGGTGAGTTATTTGGTAAAAGATAAAAGTCATTTTAGAATTTGGTCATAAATAGTGGAAATAATATATTTTATTGATGAATAACCAAATAGGTATTTTATTAGAGTTGTCTGTCTCTTTGTCTAAAATGGGGGTGGGTGTTGGGTGAGACAGATGATTTCAGTGGTACCTGATATTTTATAGCTGACCTCATCTTGGAAAGAGCTATACAGATATCTAAGAACCAGAGTGGGCTAATTCAGAGATATGTTAGTCCTTTTCCACCTTTTTCTCAACCAAATATTTTTACCAGTCCTCTTCAATTAAATCATTTAAGATTTTTTTCCTACTTTTTAAAAATTGAATCTTCTACCTTGTAATAAGTAACCTTTCTGACCCCCTAAAAAATGTCATGAAGAAAAGAAGGAAGAGACACTATGTTTGAGAGTTTGCTGTACACCCTAGTAAGATGTACCTAGAATTAGCATACAACCATATTGGGATTTCATTTCTATTTATTTTGTTTTCTTTGTGTTTTATTTTATTTTTTAATTATCATTATTCATATGTGCATACAATGCTTGGGTCATTTCTCCCCCCTGCCCCCACCCCCTCCCTTACTACCCACTCCTTCCCCTCCCTCTTCCCCACCCCCTCGATACCCGGCAGAAACTATTTTGCCCTTATCTCTAATTTTGAACACATTATTTTAAATGCTGATATTAATTTACTTTGCCTCCTAGTTTGCAGAATTTGATCAGATTATGAAGTCTGATCCTGACCACTTGGCAGAGTTGGTTAAAAGAGTGAATCATTGGCTCGTCTGTAGTCGCTGGAAGAAAGTTCAGTGGTGTTCACTCTCAGTCATCAAGCGTAAGTGTTTTTTGCAGGTGTGGTGGTACCCATCTGCAATCCCAGCACTCTGGAGGGTGAGGAGGGAAGAACTCACTATAGTGAGTTTAAGGACAGCCTAGGCTACATAGCCAGGCCCTGTCAAAACAAAGCAAACAAATCCTAACCCCCCACCCTCCCCTTAAAAATGTGTTTTGTTTCACACCCAGACTTTGTTGCTTTGGACGTGAGGTTGTTTGTGTGATGTTACAAGGCTGTCTTGGGGTTGAATGCTGAGCAACAGAGATGTGACTTTTGTTCGTGCTGTGCCTCTTGGTCTTCAAGCGATGTCTCAGGTGTAGGATGTGATAAACTAGCACTTGGAGATTTTTTGTGTTTTTATTTTTTGAATATATGACACTTATTTTTCACATATGAATGTGTTATAAGAATGAATTTCATCATGTCCTAAACAAAACAGAGCTATCTTGATTCTTTCTCTCTCTCCCTCTCTCTCTCTCTCTCTCTCTCTCTCTCTCTCTCTCTTCCCGTGGTCCCCCAGCACCATGTCCTGTTCACTTAGATTTAAACCAGAATTTTTTTGCTTGTACAGCATCTATAATAAGCAATCCAAATGTTTCAGGATTGCAATGGCTCTCACTTACTCATTTATGTATGTATATATGTATGTATGTATTTATTCCTGAGGTGCTGAGGATCAAACCTGCGGTTTCTCACATACCAGGGAACACTATACCATTCAGCTGCATCCCCAGCCATTGCCTCTTCTTTCTTATCTTTGAAATCTCATCAGTCACCAAATCAAGTTGGTTTTCCTGTGAATACTGTAATTCTTTATATTTTATTGCCAATGCCTTAGTACAGCCTCTTTCTCCCACTTGCATGGTAACTTCACTAGCTCCAAAACTGGTTTTCCTGTTTCTCAGAGTTACCTCTCTGAAGTAAACCCCTCCTGTGACCCTTTGTAAATAGAGAGCATAGTCTGAATTCTTAGAATGTCTTTCAAGACCACATAAAATGGGCACCTTTTCTACCACGCCGTCTTAGACCCTGTCCTTTGAGACACTGACTGAGCTACTTCTGTGTGTGTTTCTGCCAGGTTACAGCAACTATTTATCTGGCCCAAAATAACAGTGAGAATATTTTTGGGTCACCCCAGGGTCTGTGGCAAAACTTTAATTGTTGAGAGCTATTTGAGCACCAGTAACTTGATTAAATTTATAATTGCTACCCATACTCACCAGAATACCAGAAATAATGCTGGATACACAGAAAGGATTTAGAATCATTCCTTATTAATTGAAAAGTAAAATTCATTTGGCCCAATTAAAGAAACTGTGCAAACAAAGGTTATTTTTGAGATCTTTTGTTAGATGATTGTGAATATGTATGAAAAGAAAGCTATAAGGAAAAAAAGATTAGAACGCCTCTTTTCCCCATCATTTTTCAAGTAAAACCAAGCATGTTTGTCCGGCAGCTCAATGCTTTTTGCTTTATATATTGCATTTTGGTGGAAAACACATCATATTAAAATTATCTCTGCTAAAGCATCATTTGTGGACTGTGTTATACAGACACACTGAGGTCAGTAACCTCTGGACCGAGATTTTTGCAGAATGTTAGTAGGGAAGCTCTGAAAAAAATATTTCAAGGTCAGATCATCTTAGAAAATTCTGGGTTACCTGAAGTTAAAAAGATTCCTTTATTATAGGATTCTCAGAGGCCTCATCCACTATGTTCATTGTGAGTTTCTAAAAGGAGGTAAAGTGTGTGTCTTTCCTAAATTAACTTGACTCATTTTATAAAAAAGATATGCCTATTTACATTTAACAGAACAGATACAGCCTTGAACAGTTTGGGAAGCAGTCATGTCTCATCATAAGGAGATAGTACACTTAAAGTGTAAACCCAGTCATATACATGATAGACTTTTATTTTAAGAAGAATTAAGAATTTAACATTAACCTTCCTGATTTTTATGTCTCTGGTGTAATATATTTGTCAGAATTTTGTGTTTCTTGAGAATTGCTTTGTGAAAATGAGTGGGTTTTTAAAAATATGTGTCTAACTTAAAGTGAAATTTTTTCTACCATTTTATTTTACTCTCATGCTTAGTGAAAAACAAAATAAAATATCGAGCCGAAGCTTGCATTAAAATGCAAAAAACTGTTCGAATGTGGCTTTGCAAAAGGAGACACAAACCTCGGTAAGATGAATGTCTAAACAGCCTCCAAAACCTGATTAGCCTCGTACAAAATAGCAATTAGAGTCTAAATGAAAAGCAGTTTGAATCTCAAGTTCTTTGTAAACGTATATATTATTCTGTTATTTGTAATAATTATTTGAAATCAGCCCATTTATTCAGTACTTGCCTCATTCTACAAAAGGATTTGAAGTGACTTACAAAAATGTAAATACTGTAAAAGGTTTGAGACAAGTTCTATTATTTTTATTATTTTAGTGATTTGAGTTTCCTAATGATGTCAAGTTGACATTGTTTTTAAAAATGTCTTGTTAACATTTTGACCATACTTTTCAAGATTATCCATAAGGTTAATTTTGTTTCACTTGTTTACAGTTTCATTATAAATTAAACTTTTACTGCTTATTTAAATGTTTCACTACTAATTTAGACTTTTAAACTTGGAGATATGTATAACTATTGATCCATCACACCTTTTTATAGAGGTTATTAGGTTAAGTTCTGCATACATACATGATTCTTTTTACCCTCAGTGACAGATCTGAACAGCATACAAAATAATTTCAGAAAAGAAATACAGTGTTTAGCAATATGTGTTAAATAATATGTTATTAATGGAAAATCTACCTAAAGCATCAAATGTTGAAGTTGATCTCTGATGAAGTATTGTCTCTACAGCATTGATGGCCTGGTTAAGGTGGGCACACTGAAAAAACGGCTTGATAAATTTAATGAAGTAGTAAGTGCATTGAAAGATGGAAAACCAGAGATGAACAGACAGATCAAAGATCTTGAAATTTCTATTGATGCTTTGATGGCCAAAATTAAGGTATGTAATTTTAACCCAGATGATGCTGGTTTTTATATAATTTAATAGCTTTTGTTACTGGTATTGAAAAAGTCCTTATTTTTTCAAGATGTCAAATGTCAACAAGCAGATGCTCCTTATCCTCTCTCCCCATTTCTGTGTTTGAAAAATTGCATAGCAGAAAGGTAATAAAGACAACTTGATGAAATTTTATCTGTTGTTAGGAAAAATATTTTCTCCTCAAAAGGGTAACTAAAAATACTACACTTTGCTGGTAAACTTTTGTATAGTCATGACTCAGACAGGATCAATGCAAGTTATTTTAATTTGTTTTATGCTTCTCAATTTTCAGAAACTAGATTTTATCTGATCTTATTCATTTTCCTTTGTGATGGCACTGGGGTTGGAACTCATGGCCGGTATATGCTAAGCTGGACTCTCACTGAGCTATATCCTTACTACCCCAGAAACTGACTTCTGAATTATAAAAGTGATATAACATTATTAAAACTTTGAAGAAAAACACCAAAAAACAGCTTATACTCCCACACTAATATATGCAGCAAGTATGCTGTGATGCATTCCCTTGCAATCTTACTTCATATGCATACTTTCTACACGGTTCTTCATTATTCTATGCATTTAATTTTGTATCTCTGCCATTATGTTACATGGATTGTTTATGTTTGCACTTTATTTTTATAGAGTCTATAACATAATTTACTTGACTGCTATTATAGTAACAATTCCCTCAATTTTGTAGGGAAAAAAATGGGTCCACTTTTTTCTCATTTT